GTGCAGTAAATAAATATTTATGTATTGCCTCTTTACACTGCTCTTCTGTGCTCACACGATTATTTATAGATTTTCGTTATATTGTTTTCTTCGCATTTTTTAACACTCGTTCGTTCATTTTTATTTTCGCTCTAAGCTATTTTCAAAAATATATACATATATTTTCAGTTTTATAGGTCTTTCTGTCTGGCAAATTAGACCATTTAATAAGCAGCTTTGTTGTCATAAAACGTATTTTCGACTCTCTATATCATACATTTTTTATTATTCAAAACCGGTTTCGGTTTTCGATTGTGTCTGTGATTTCTTTTAGCTTTTGGTGATTTTTTCTGTTTTTACGACTAGCGCATAGAAATGATTTTTAAATTACTTTATTATGTTGTGACGATTGGCGTTTGTAGAAAAAATCAGTAAAGTTAACAATTCCAATACTGAGTTTATTTTGTGTTCATTAGTTGCTATTTGTTTTATCTTTCAAAGCTTGTTTTTGTGCACATTTTTGGCTCATGTTAATTTGAATTTATTTGTTTATTGGATTTATTTTTGTCTACGACCAACTGGCACCTTCCAGCGTTATAAATAATATCAGTGAAAAAAATTTGCGACTCATTATTATTTTTTATATAATTATTAATTTTTTCGAGCATAAAAACTCAGTTATTTGGCTAAGAAGCATTAAAAATCCATAACAAACATAATATTGCATTATTATTGTTATTAATTATATGCGCCCAACTTTGCGGCCTTGCCGCGTCATTATAATGTGCACACGTCTTGTGTTTATCAAATTATTTTTCTTTCTACTCATTTTATGTGTTTTCTGTCTACACAAAACAATTAAACTTGACGAATTTGCGATAGCTAATATGAAATACTTTAAAAACCAACAACAAAATTGGCAACTTAATTTGTGTAGATATGCGCGTGCATTTATGATCAAGCTAGAGCTAGAGGCTTAATTTTATATTTTATGGCATACACTTGTGTTTTGATTACAATACATTAGCTGCTCTGTTATTGTTATTACGCTTGTGTCTATTAGGTTTTTATATATAATATTTTGCACAAAATACAGTGTGATAATTTTTTCGCTGTTTTGTATAAAAAGTTAGTCACCTTCGTTATTGGTTCCTTTCATCTGCCGAGTTAATCACGCTTCCAACTGCTGCATGGCGTTCTAGTTACATACATGCTTTAATTTTCTCTTGCGTAGTTTTGCATATTGTTGAAAGATATAATTTTTAAAAATTTTCAAATCCATACATCCCGTCGGAAAATTGAGTTATTAATAATTTTGGAAGCAAGCCAAAACTTTCGGGTTCAACGCTAGAATTTCTTAAGATAAGCACACAAAATTTGTCATATTTTGCCGATTTACTCTCATTGCAGTAGTAATTTTAAGAAATAAATTTCATTTTAATAACTGCAATATTAGAAAGAATAAATTTTGTGATTTGTTGCGCTAAGCATATTTTAATTAACTAATTTGTTTTTATTTGTCTGACTTAGAATTGCTTAGAATAAATTAAATATTTCTTCAGAAATAAAGTTAAAATATATATTGTTATTTATACGCCGGTGTTGACCATGTGTCTATTTTCAAATTTTTCGAATAACCTATTTCAAGTAATGCTTGGTCACTTCCATTCGAAGCCAAAAATTTCAACAAATACTACAGCCGCAGGCACCCGAAAATATGACTGATTTTTAAATTTTTCTTTAAATGCTTATATTTATTTGCTTTTAAATCTTATTTATTTAAGCTGCCGACGTAAGAATAATGCTGTCAAAACGCACAAATTTACATATTTACATATGTATATTATTTTTGCGTGAAAATTCGTCAGCATTAAGCGCACAATGACCTTTGAGAGTGTACTCTGAGCACAAATTCGTTGTACAAATATATTGTTTTTACTTGTACCTTATTTGTAAAGTGATTATCGACGCAAGTTCAACCACAACACATATGTACACACACATTATATATATTGTATCATATATATTAGGGTGGGCAAAAAAAAAATTATTTTTCTTTCGCTTGATGCTCTGAAAGTATTAGCGCTTAATTGTAACGGAATATCACTTCCAGCTGGAAAAAATATTTCGTTACATAGATTTTGTAGGAAATTGAATGCTCTACATAATGGTCTCTTACGATTTTTTTCATAAATCCAACCGTTTAAAAGTTATTAACTGTTAAAGTTCGACTATTTTAAGGCAAATTTTTCGTTTTCATATGAATTTTATAGCTTAATGAAAAAAAAGATAATTTTAAATTGCAAAACTCTAAAAAAAGTTTTGTAAGAAATTGACTGCTAGACAAAAATATATATACTTGTAGTATATACAATAATTAAATTTGTAATTATAAAAATTTTACTTTCAAAAGTAAAAGTGGTAATTTAAAATGTGCTTTATCTGCCATCAAAAAAATGAGGTTAGCTAGCTTACACTTTTTTTCAACACATGCTGTAATACCTACATATGTGCATATTTTGCTTGTTTCTTGGGTGTGCTAAATTTCGGCGCATGCAAGGCCAATCAATCACATAGCCAACAAGCATTGATGTTCACCAATATTGACCCACTTTAATAAGTAGATCAGTATACTTGTATATATATATATATATATATATTTAGAAATTGAACACTTTGATTATCTCATTACTATTAAAGTACGCACTGTAATTACTGAAGTGTTGCTTTCATTTCACACATAATCAATACAAGTACAATAACATTATTGAACTTTTTTCCGCCACAGCTCTGCATTGAATATATTATTTAAGGACCCTGTCTTGCGATTTGCTCCTAATTGATCGGCACTTGAGCAAATAGTAGCGAAATGACAGGACAGCTGTCAGCGCACATGCTTTGCAGTAATTACGCCCACATACAATGTCAATTTGTTTGAGGTGTCCCAGTGGTCCGTTTTGTGGCACAACGAAATTTCTTGGAAAACATGAAAGTTTTCGTGTAAAAATTTTTTTTTTTTGGTTAAATGATTGGTAGCATATGTTCGCCATTATAACTACCGTACTTGTAGTTGTTCCTAGTATTGACGTCGTCGCCTTTTTGAATACTCAGCAATATTGCGCTTGTGGCGTGTTACCTGTCTTTCTATACATATTTGTATGTCCATATGTATGTTAAGGTGTTGTCTTCGCTTGCCGTCTGCGCATGAAGCGCGCATGTGGGCAGCCATTGCAAGCACAACCACATGAATCACCGTTTGCGTGGCGTGATGTGCGAATTTTGTTATGATTATTAGCACGTGCTCGGTTTTTATTTAATTTTTTCTTTTTTTTTTTTGTTGGTCACCGGGGGTTGTGGTTGTGGTGTGCCACTGGGTGAACTCCCTGCTGTTGCTCAGCTAAAAATTAATAGGTAGATACGCCTGGCGCCCCAATTTTAAGCACACGCCAGCCAAGTAACTGAATCTGGTGTTCAGCTGAATTTGAATGAATTTGTATACCTTTGCATTTGTACTAACTGGTATTGGCATAGTGCGGTCATTAAGGCATTTCTCTTATTACTGCTAATGTGATTTTGGAATATGTCGCATAAAAAAAGTTCTCTTTCGTTTTTTTTTTTGCTTTGTGCTTTTTGCTGCCTTGCAAATTTGTGTTATGGCGTGTCTGCAGCAGTCATAACTGAGGGCAGATATTGTATGTACTCGTATGTACCATATACGAGTTTACATACATGGTATTGCTATATCTAAAACTCTTTTTGTATTTATAATTAATTAAAATTTTACATGCAATTTTTCAGCAGTTTCCATTTAAATATTTATTTTATTGATTTTTTTTAGAATTATTTTTTTTTAAGTTTCCTCTCATATATCATATCTATATGTGTACGTATATGTGTAATATTAGTACATATAAGCTGCATTGCATAATCTTGTGCAGTGAAGCTTGCAAATGCTTTTACTTGCATCAGTTTCCATTCTTCTCCTCGAAGCTCAAACAGAAACTTTTGATAATATTATACTATAAAGCGCTGCCAAATTAATTATTTTGAAATATGCTGTAGGCTCGCCGCTGTCTATATATAGTCGGCTCACCACAGCATTTAACTAACCAGCCTATTCTAAGCGGTTCTATGTCACTTAGTGTCAGCACAGAGGCGAAGCTATAAATAGTTTTTGCAGTGATTGCAAAATATTGAGTAAAAGGCTTTTAGATAACGTTGATGAAGACTATTTTTTAATTATTCGCATATAAAAATAAATAAAGCGCTTTTCACAAAAAAGTAAACACATTTATTTTTTTGATATTTGAACGACTTATGCCATATTAGCAGAACGAAATGTGGTGCTTATCTTATCACCGTAAAAAATATCACGCAATCAAGTCGTTTTGCCACGATAAATCAAAGTGAATGTGTTTGTGTTGTGTTATTTATTTATTTGATTTGAAAGGAAAACATGGCATATGTACATATGCCCGTACAAATCGCGCAAATATTTACATTTGAGCAGCGTGAAGCTGACAAAACTCTCATGTCGGCGCGGCATGGTTATGTCTGTCTGCCTGTCTTTCGCTACAAAATATACTTATGATAGGCAAATTTGCATGTTGACAAATATGTATGGGTAAATAATTAACTCGACATGTACGAGTATGCATGAATATTAGCTCGTGAACAGGTAGAGCCCTTTTTGGCTGTATTTACAAGCGTCTCACTTGGAAAATATTGATATATAAAATTATGAAGATTGTGCGAGCTGAAAAAGCCAAAAATGAGCAATGAGCTCAAAAATCTGAAATTGAATTTTTGTAAACAAAATTTTAGCTTACTCATATATGCTTACTTATATACTTACTATATATGTACTTTTATTATATTATATAATACGCTGAGCTTACACAAATAATTAAGCACTATATTTTTTTATATTAAATTTGCATATCCTTTATTAAGCTTTTAGCATTTTGTTGCCAGCCTTACTAATTCTTCTCTTCCCAACACATATTTTTCTCTCCCCATAGGATCTGGTCAAATCCCATCTTATGATAGCTGTTCGCGAGGAAGTTGAAGTACTCAAGGAGAAAATTTCCGAGCTGATGGATAAAATCAATCAACTTGAGGTTGAGAATACCATATTGAAGTCGAACATGTCACAGGAAATGTTGCAACAATTGCAAATGCAAACGCAACTGCAGATCGCCGGTAGCAACACCAATAGCAATAGCAGCAGTGCCGGCACACCAGCGATCACAGCAGGCAATTCCAATGCCACAGTAACGACTGCTAATATGATTGCCGCAGCACCACCACAACAACAACAACAGCAGCAGCAACAACAACAACAACAACAGGCTGGTACACCCACAACTGCTGCGGCCAATGAGAGCAGCGACGCCAGCCCAGCGACCGAAACAACGGCCACAGCAGCAACAGCCGCCACAGCAGCGACCAATAATAGCGCAGAAAATACGGCGGCCACAACAAACGGTCCATTGTCGTCCTCCTAAACGCCGCAATGTTGAAGCGTTAATTGAAAAGGCTTATAGTCGAAGCGAGGCGTAGCATTAAAAGAAAAAAAAACTTACGAAGCACCAAGCTGGGTAGTTGGAGTTACATAATTGCTAGAATTGAAGGTGTTATTGGTGTGTGTATGTTGAGTAAGAGGCGGATGTGTACTGCAATATAGTGGCGTACAAATTAATTTTTTTTGTTGCCGCTTGATGGGAATCTTGGCCAAGTGAAATGCTGCAACAATTTAGTGGCAACACAAAAAAAATTGTTTTATTACGCCAAAAAAGATGAAAACAAAAATTATATGATAATGTTTGCAGCTTTTGAGTAACGTCCTCAAGCGTTAATATATATTATAGATACATATTTATTTTTCACAAACAAATACTTTTCCTTTTTTTATGGAATGCTGAAAGTTTTTCAAAACTGCAAACATTTGTTATCTATGCCACAGCAATAAAAATGTACGCTTTATTGTTTTTTTTTTATTTTTTTTACTGGTTCAACGGCGACCAAGTAATGCAGCGTCTCTCTTGAAAACGTTGTGGCTAACATTTGCAAACCATCACAACGCTGCAAACACACATCACGAAAATACCACAAATTAAACTAAATAAACAACAAGTGCAAGCAAAAACAAAGCAAGCAAGAAACAAAACACACTGATAAACGTCTGCAAACAATTGGTTGCGCCAACGCCGCCATATGTTGCTGGCAACATATAGCACTTTCATAGCATACCAACAAGTATTCCCAGCATTGTTTGAGCGATGCAACGCTGTGTGTTTGTACGCGTCATTACACACACACACACACAAGCACTGGGCCTTGTTTGCCTTGTAGCGACAACATGTTGTTAATGCTGCTGCAAATGCATAAGTATGAATCTTCAACACCTAAAACAGCGCAACATGTTGCCGCAATATCTACAAGCGGCAAACAGCGCGAAATCATCATGTTAAATGTGATAAAACTCAATTTATAATTATTTCAAGCATACAAAAATAAGAAGTTGAGTCGAATATAGAAGAAAGAGCTGAAGGAAGTAAACAAATTGTAATGTTGCTGCACGCGCTTAAAAGAGAACAAAGTGCGGCAAAGAGCAAACTATGTATATATAAATGAGAAAATCAAATCGTTTGCTTTATTTGCGTCATAATTGTCATACTCTGTATATTATTATTGTGTTTTAAATTTTAATTACGAAATTTTAATTTTTCACTAAAACTTGAGAAGCGCATAGTTAAAGCATAAGCAAACGATTAGAGAGAAGTTTAGGAAAGTATGATTCAACATAAAATTCATATTTTTTTTAGTTAAAGTTGTGTGTAATTTTAAGTTTTGATATTATTTTCCATCCATGTTGTATAATTTTTACAAAGCAGATAAATCACGATGTGAAAATCAAAAGCGAAATATTTGCATATTTATCATTAACAATAGAAATAAAAACAACAACAAACATATTGCATGTATTTGTATGTATTTCCAAATTCAGTAAATATAAGTAAATTTCTTTTGGAAAAAACATAATAAAATTGTAAACAAACAAAAGATTTGAAGAAAAATTATAAATAATCAGGGAACTAAATATTTGTAAAAATTTCACAAAAAATAAAAAAGAAAATGTGGCTAATGCAAAAAGACAAGCAAAACATACTTGTGTGCAAACGAGTATAAAAAAGTTGTATAAAAACTGTGCATGTTGAAAAATTAATTTGCAAACTTGAAAACTCGAAAATAGCAAAAATAATGCATAGTAAACGCTAAATGAAAAAAGTTGTACAGGCAAAAGGTTAAAATATACAGTTAATTAAAAAAAGTAAAAAAAATTAAAAATTGCATTGGTAAAAATTTAGCCGCGTACGGCTTAAAGTTTCCAAAAAAGCGCAAATTTCAATGACATGCAGAAAAACAAATACAAATTGGAATATTCATGTTATTTGTAGTATAAATTAAATACATGCAATAAACCAAGCAATAAATAATATTTTTTTGAAACTAAATACTTCAAAAAAGAAAAGTTTAAAAATGTGCAGCAGTAAGAGTTAAAAATTTTCGCTAAATAATAAACAAGGCATTCACGCCAACAGCAGTATTTATATAAGAAATTTACATACATTACGCGTTTGAACTTAAAACACCTTAAAGACAACCTAAATATATTGCCGTTTTATAATTGCGAATTTTGCTAACAATTTTTATTAAGAAAAAAAAAATTGTTAAAAAAAGTATGCTGCTGTCTAAAGATTACAAAAACTACTACTTTGTTGGTTATTGCAAACTTCAACACTCTATATGTGAATGTCTTGTTTTTTTGTGTACGTAAAATATATCGTTCAAGCTGCCTACAATTTACATTTTTTTTTTTAAATTTTATGCACATTACTGTTATTAAGCAAACCACAATTCACATAATTTAAAAACTTGTAATAAAAAACAGCTATACATATTTTTTTATTCAACAAAAAATTTAACCAACTAAAATTCGCAATTGTTATGATCAGTCAGTAATATATATAAAAAATATTTTAGTTTGTAAATATAAAAATAAAACTTCAAATCTCAAATTGTAAAATAGCCAATATTTAAAAATTTTGTATTAAAAAAATCGAAAAATAGTGAACATGCTAAAAATATGTAAATATTGAAATGATTTATAACGCGCTGAAGACAAATACTTTAGCAAATATCGAGCCAGCCAGCAAAAACTCTATTTTATACATTATTTTTAGTCAACATGAATTTTACTATTGTTTGATTTAAAAAAAAAACGCTAAAAGTGACAAGTCTTGCAAATTTGCAATCTTTTATCAACACTAATTTTTGAAACATGTTGTGGTCTTTTTTTTTAATTATATAAGCGCACTTTTTAAACAAATTTCTTATAACACAGACTTGCGTGCTTCTCGTTTTATGCGTACATAACAACAAATTTTAATTATAACTAATAGTATTGTATACAAAATCTGTTGTAAGATTTTTGACTTGTTAACACTTACTTTTCTAACGCATACAACTCAAGTATTTTTGCTTTAAAAAAAAAACACACACACATACATACATAAAACTGTAACCAATACGCAGTTAATAATAATTTTACGCTATTGTTCAGCTACAGTTTATAAGTTGCTTATAACTAATATAAAAATAAAATATGAAAATGCATAAGAAACTGTAAAAGCGACTGCCAGACAGCGCCAAGAATCCTGCGGAGACTCTAATTGTCTAAGGATTCGCATGCATGCGTGTTAGACGCGCACATGACTGCAGCAAAATCAACTGTATATACATATATAAATAATGATTTACAATAAATGCAATGAAACAGTTGAATTTATGAATGTCATGTTGTTGCATACATGTTGCAACAAATGCTAAAAAAAATATATATATATATAATATAATATACTGATTAATAAAAAAAACTTATAAATTGTAGCTAAACTTTCTTTTAACAACTTCTATAATCTGCTGATTGTATGTGAAGGAAAGCTGCAAGATTACATTTTATACACACACACACATACATATACGCATACATACACATAAAAATAACGTTACTATAGCCACGTACCATATACATAATAATAAAAGATTGTTGTAGTTTAGTAGTTTTGCTTTATTTCTATTATATAAGTTTAAATATTAATTTATTGCATAGTTTGTACGTATGAGAATATTAAAAACAATTCAAACAAAACTATTGAAAAATAAATAAAAATAAAGAAATAAATGGCACTGAAAGTTATTAAATAACAACAGAAAACCTAAATGTTGTTTGTTTTGCTGTAAAACAAGAAAAGAAAGGAAAGCAAGAGAGCGTAATAGAGAAACAGCGAAAGAGAGAAAGAGCAAGAGAGAATAAGATTATACAGAAGGATGTGTTATAAGAAAAAAATATTTTTTCGAAATTGTTTTATTGAAACCTTCGAAATTGTTTGGAAATTGTTTTTTTTTTAATTTAAATGAAAAATTTTTACTATTGATTTTATTAAAACTTTTCTTATAACTTTAAAAATGTCTTTGTAAATTTTATTTTTATAGTTTTTGAATTTTTTTTTATTAAAATTTGTGAAGTTTTTTACATTAAAATTTTTAAGATTTTTATTATTAAATTTTTTTTAATCTTCTTTGAACAAAATTTTTTAGTTTTTTTTTTATCATTGTTACATATTTTTTTATTCAAATTTTTATTTTATTTTTTTTGTTTTATTTCCAACAATTTATGACTCATATTTTTCGTAAACAGACCACAGCATTCATTTAAAATGTTTTTTTTTTATTTTTTGACCAACAACATTTGCAAGCTTAACTAATACAATTATTGTATTTTATTATAAAAAAAATGTTTAATCATGAACACAAAACGTTCGTATATAGCTTCGGCAAGTGATAACTTTACAAAGCGAACGTTTAGAACCAAACACTATTTTTGTATCTAAACGTAAATAAATGTTTCTTTTGTACATATGTATGTAACTTCAAATAACCAATATGAAAAACTAAAATCTGAAAGACAAACTGCTGCTGATGTGTGTAAAAACAATTGAAAGTAATATTCAAAACACAAATTATATAATATAAAAACAATAGCTAATATTCAAAAAAAAAAAACAACAACAAAAAAAGCATGTGCACATATTAGTAGGAATGATAAATTGTGAAGACAAAATCATTAAGAAAATAAAGTTAAATATTTAAACAAATATGTTCCAGCACTTGTTCAATCCATGGAGAATTAGTTATTTTAGCAGCGTAAAAGCATTAACAAAGCAAAACAATTGTAAATAGACTTATACATATTTAAATATATATATATATATCTATGTTCAAATAAATAAAACAACAACAACTATAGTAGTAATTTCAGAAATAAACTGAATTAAAAAAAATCAAGTATATATGTAACGCATAAGCTATATATTTAGTAGTGAAGTAGCATATGGGCATCGATCAGCGCCACCAGCGTACTAAGTGAGGACCAGCTGGCCGTACGCATAAATGTGTAAACAGTGGATGAAAATGGAAGCAAACTCTTAACTAGTCTATTTGTTACTTTATTGTTTCTTATTTTTGTTTATATTTTTTTTTTTTGTAATAATTTTAGCATATGCTCTTTTTCCAAATGTTGTTAAATTAACAAATTAAGTCAAATTGTTTAATTAACTCATTTTTGGATAGTTGTACGTAAAATTTACTTATACATATGTATTAGGTATTGAAATATATACAATAATATTTACACGTATTTTTTTTATCATAAAACCATTGTCTGAATAATATAATAATAATTTTTGAACTACGTTAATATTTAATGAAAATTTTATGCATAAAAAAAAACGAATTATGCTATTAAGATGTGACTTCTAATGCTTAAAAGATATTTGTAATTGTTTATTGAAAAGATAATTAGTTTATAATATTATAATATAATATGTATATGTGAGAATAGCAAAGCAGCAATTTGTTTGCTGAAAGTGCAGATATATTAGTGAGGATAATGATTGTAATGATTAAATTAATAGTGTAAAGGAGAAATGAACAAAAACTAAATTAGAAATAAAATATAAATAAAAACATGCTTCTTTAAAACTATAAAACTGTCTTTGTCTTAACTGAAAATTTCAAAAGTAAGTAATATTTTATTGCATAAATTGCGCTATAAACGAGAAACAACGTTAACTTCAATTGCACCGAAGCTATAATACCCTTCACAAATACAAAAGATTGGACGTGTTCAAAATTTCAGATCAAAATCTCAGAAACTGAGGGACTAGCTAAATCGACTCAGCTCGTCATACTGATCATTTATATATATATATACTTTAGCGGGTTTTTGACGTTTGCGCTTCAATTCTCAAATACAAAATTTATCACTTTAAACTTCAACATTTATATTCAACGAATTGATTTTGGAAATTTCCACCTTGTGACAGCTACTCTGCGCCTGTTACACCAGAAAACGTAAAAGAACTTATTTTACGTTCTCTGGTTCAGTCGTTCCCGGAAACAGCAATTTAATGAATGAAATGCATATAATCGTTGCCTACTTCTAGGCCTGCTGTTCTGACAAAACATTCCTGTAAGAAAAATGCACTGCTTCAAAATTGGTTTGGCTCTAGTGTAGCAAGCATAATTGCTCTTTCCAGCATTCAAAATGTGGCAAAAACCTAAAAATTCCATAAATATTATTTACCTATTTTTTAAGTATCTTTTCTTCACTTTCTTCCCGTAGTGATTTTCAATTTTTACATAAAGAAATAAGTTTAATTTTTCCATTTACATCCACCAGAACCACCGGAAAATGAACATGCAGCCTCACCATGATGTCGGGCATTTATATATTATCACAATACTTCAAATTTTAGAGAAGACCCTTGACCAACAGATGGACACCCATCATCTTTTTGTTGATTTCCAAGCCGCTTTTGACAGCTTTGTTAGGAGCTGCCTATTCGACGCCATATTTAAATTTGGTATGCCTGCGAAACTCACACGGTTATGCAGAATGACGTTGAGCGCAATCATTAGCTCAGTCAAAAGAACCGGGAAGGACCTCTCCGCGCCGTTTAATACCAGACGTGCGTCCTTTTCAATATAATGCTGGAAAAAATGATACATACCGCTAATCTGAACTGCAGTGACACTGTCTACTAACTAAAAGTACAATGGGTTACGCAGATGATAATGACATCGTAAGCCTTAACAACAGAGCCGTCAGCGCAGCCCTTTCCAGCCTAGCAATACAAGCGCAAGAGATTGGTCTTGCGGTGAATGAGGGCAAGACAAATTACCTGGAGGCCACACACAAAAACTCTTCGCGTCTTGGAAACTACTTCACTGCTGGCAGCTTACATTTGAAAAAGTTAAGAACGTTGTATATCTCGGAACCAGCATAAATAATCTAAGCCTGAAGATTAAGAGCAGAATAACTCTTGCCAACAGGTGTTACTTTTGGCAATTGAGAAGCAGATCCCTCTCTCAACGAACAAAAACTACGCTCTATAAGTCTTTCATTATTGCCGTCCTATTATACGGGGCGGGAACATGGACGATGACGAAACAAGGTGAAAAAATACTTGGAGCATTCGCTGTTCTTCGCAAGTTTCGTCCGCGTTAGAGATGTATGTAGATGGAACCAAGAACTGTATGAGCTCCACGGCGACATGAATATGTATAGTTAAGCGCATAAACATCTAACGAATGCGCTGGTTAGACCATGTCTTTCGCATGGAAGATGATACTCCAGCGAAAAGCTTCTACGTCTCGAGACCCATGGGTGGACAACGAAAGCAAGGGCGCCCACGCTTTAAATGGAAGGACCAAGTGCATAGCGACCTGTCTGCACTTGGGATGTACGACTGAGGTCACCTCGCAGAGGATTGAGGCAACTAGCGAAGTTTTATGTGCTCGGCCCAGACCGACCTGTGGTTGTAATGCCAAAGAAGAAGAGACGAATTTTGAGCTCTTATGAATTATTGTGAAATTGACGAAATTTTCCTATTTCCGAACTAGAAATCTGTTTGATCAGTTCGCATTTCACAAAAGGGTTATTGTCTCACTACCATCATAAACAATTAAAGTTGCAGCGGTTTCGAATATACTTAAAGGAGAGCATGTAATTTTTTTCAATCGTATATGCATAAATATTTATTTTTGTGCGCGCTTACAAAATCAATGAATATAAACTTAATACTTAATGGAATATTAGAAATCTGTTTCTGGACTTAAAGGTCTTGCTGGTAGCTCTACGATTTTATCTAAATCTGTTTCTATAGGTCTAGTATCCGGTGTTGTTGCAAGTTTTTTGGGTTTCGGCGCGATTGGCGGAAGAACTTTAACGCCTGCGGTCGGTGTTACAGACTTCGTTGGCGTCTGCTCATTGGCGCTAGCTATATTTATTGTTAACGGTGTCTTTTCCTCTATTTCTGGTTCTAATTGTTTAATAATTTCGTTATCATCTTCACTATCCTGATTAAATGATTTGAGATTTCCCAGTTGCGCACGAACATCATGCGCAGACAAATGATGCAGCGGCACATCGGCCCGCACAGCCATACGTTTGGGACTGGTGGTGCCATTGTCACCTTTATGTTTGTCCGGTGGGAAGACGACTTGAGCATACGTAATGCCATTACTATGATGCTCTTGTAAACTATTATCACCTACCGACGAATCGGTCAGTGAACTGGGATTGCGAAAGACGGTGATAGCCTCAGATTTTGGTGTAGAACGTGTGGTTGGTGCATCGCGGCGTTGCATTGGTGAAGCATCCGTTGCTGTAGTCGCAGGACTGCCGCCTGTAGTTTGTTGTACAGTAGCTGCATGGGGATCCTCACGTGGTATGGGTGAATAGAGTGAAGGTGAATAATTCGGATCGGTAACTTTACAGTTATATATGTTGAGACCTTTTGCGAAAATATAAACTAATATATCAAATAGAATACCAACTAAAATGAGACATGCTGAAATGATATTTAAAATATTGCCATGTTTTGGCGTCGCGCGCAGCAGGCAACGCTTGTACTCCGGTGTCCAGTAGACGCAAGTGTATCCTAAAACAAATAATTCCTTTATTTTAATTTTAATTTTACTAAGCCAAAACTCACTTGTGACCATATCGTAGGCGATGTGCACTGGTATGTAAGCGAATATGCCACAAAGTGTTAGTTGGGTGGCCAATGCCAGGGCTTTGTCCTGTGGTAGCACGCTGCGCAGAGTAATAATGACTTTGCCTATGATGCTGGCACCCAAAACAGCGGCAGCTATTAAACTTAGTACCTGAAACCCGATCAACATTCGCTGACAGTTGACATAACTGCAAGCGCCTTCTGTTGCACGCAGATTTACTTGCGATTCAGCATTGTAGTTCGATGTACAAGTACAGCCCTCATAAAGCTACAAGAAAAAGTTGAAAAATTATTTTTTAAGTTATTCAAGCTGCTGCAAAGACTCCTGAGATCAGCCATTTATGCTTACCAAAACATTGTTAATGCTTTTAGTGCCTGTGCAACCAGCGTAACATGCCGAAAAATATGTGACCGTTGAGTTTTCGGGGCAGACGGGCTGGAAGGTGTTCGCCTTGCAAATACCGGTACACTGTTTGGAACAGAATGGCTGCAATACCTTGCCCTGCGTGACGCCAGCAATGTCACCAACATCACACTTGATAAATATATTCGCAATGAAAACGGCCAGCAAAGTTACACCGAAAACAATATTGACCCCAGTTATGGCTCTGCAAAAGAACCAACAAGCGGTCGGCGGTAATATATGTGTTATAATTAAATTCATTTGTAAAGCCTACGCACCTGCCTGATAATTTCAGTTTGGAGATAATAAGTCCCAGTACCAGAATTCCCACCGCTGCTACTGGTGGCCTCAGAAAGTAAGCCACAAATCGCGCTTCCCATTCCTGCAACAAACCATCCTCTTCGCTATATGGCAGAAAGAAACGTGATTGCAAATACGACTCTTCTTGCAACTCAAAGTTTACATAAGCCGAGAAAATGAACATTATACCCAGAAGATTGCACATTAGCAGTTTATTGGTGAATATGCGTTTGAGTGAGGGCCCAAAGCCCACATCATCAATATAGGTGGAGAATTGACTGCCAAATGTGCGTGTTTGCGTCTCTTCAATAATGCGTTGAGCTGCATGATGTATAACGGTTTTCGGCAGACGTTTCGGAAATAGGCCCAATAATATGCCGCTTAACAAAACTAAAGGTGCTAAGATAAGCCAACCCAACCACCAGCCAAGCGTTGTGGCGCCAACACCAAGCACAATAAACGAGCCAACTTGTAAGCCAAATATGCGTCCCGCCAAGGCGGTTCCTAACACAGCCGGACTATCAATCGAAGCTGAATTGTCATCCAAGTATGTGGTGCCGATTATGTAGAATGCCAAATTGGCAAAGCCGAGTGCGAATTGCAGCACAAAGAGCAATATGAGCGTGCTAAGCTGAGCTTGTTGTGCGGTGAGAATACTCTTCTGATATGGAGTTATGCTGCAGAGGTTTGTAACTATAGTGTCAATGGGGGCCACCGCACCGCTAGAGCTAAAACTTTAGTTGAGTAGCATGAAATAAAATGAAAAGCTATTAATTAATGATTTAAAATGCGATTATATTTCACTTACAAGCCAATTATGGCAGGTATGACAGCGATGACGCAGACGAGCGACTGCGCAATAATTGTGCCTGATAGCCACTTTATTGAATGGCTCTTAAGCGCCCAATGTGCGAATAGCAAAGCAAATAAAGCTTGAAATATACCACTGCTAACAATAAGCCAATCTGGAAACAAAAATTGGTAAAGTAGAATAACTCAGCTTTTATTTACGATAACTTTATATTGCATGTGATAATGTCAAAAATTATACAAATTAACCTACTTTTTGAGCTCAGCAAAAGAGCAACGTAATTGGAATAGAACGCTTAGTCAAAGATCTAGTTACTAGCTAACCTTTCTATAAATTACACGCTTTTACCTGTAACACTCTCCCATGTCGCACTCTCGTATGTTCTACTACAGGATAACAGAGCTTCGCGGAAACTTGGCCAGCGCCGGGCTACCATCAGTTTATGCGCTGTCGCAAGATCCTTTTGGCCTCAGATCGATCGTAAGAGATCCAATGAACCCTTTTTCCTCAGTAAAGCTAACCTCTCCCTAGTTGTGGGGGTTCTAATAGGCCATTGCCCTATCGGCGCCCATACTGTAAGGTTGAGAATCTTACCGGACGTCAGCTGCAGAAGTTGTATGGAAGTAGACGAGGTGGAAATATCTAAACATTTCCTTCTTGATTGTCCCGCGTTTGCGAGATCAAGGCTTAAACACTTGGCAGCTTACACTTTCAGATATCCTACCGAACTGGTAGGAATATAAATTAAATGCCTGAGCAAATTTGAATTGGCCACAAACATATAAGTTCGGATGCAGGAGTTCTACTTTTATGGCTTCACAAAGAACTACATATAGCAGTCTAAGTGCAATCTCTGGATCAGCCATCAAACCTAACCTAACAACAACCTGTAGCACTTCACTAATTTTCCGGATTATTATATAGCGAAGCCAAGCACAAAATTTATGGTGGTTGTGGGCCCCTTATGTTACAAGTATAAATCATTGTGAACATTTCATTATGTATATTTAACTCAATCTTCACGCGGTTGTAGCACCTTATTCAATATTTTATATCTTATGGTAATGCTAGTTAGCACTCTGAATAATATTAAAAACTATGTCGGCATATTTTGGTTCGTGAGCTCACTCGTGCTATCAAAATCTTTAACGAGACCGAATCGAAATTCGCAATAAGGAGGAGAGGACTGATCAAACATCTGACAAAATTGTACATGCTAAATTATTGTTATTAACGCTGTAATGTAAAAATGCTGGAAACTTTAAAAATACCTACGAAGTTGCTCTTGCGAGGAAATAACCTGTATTATTTTAAACTAGCAGATCACTGCATTTGCCATTCCATTTTTTGTAAATAATTATATGTTCTGCAAAGTCGTAGTACATTACTTTGTTCTTCAATAGTATTCGCAGCGCACGCTATGTAAGAAATTTTTGGACAATTTTTTTACACCTTGGATTACATTATTTTCGTTTTAGTAAGGATCCCTAACTTTTTTACAAATATAATATAGCCTATGTTCATAGGAGAGAGTGTAGCTTTCCAACGGGGAAAGAGTTTTTCAAAGCCGTCAAAGATTAAATAATTCCCTTTACTTGATAAGCTAAATTTCTAATAACTTTTTGACCATTAACTATGGCTATAAGGACTGTGTCAAAAGGTGTACCGGAAGTGAATAGAGTAGTACGTATGTACTTTATTGTGATTACGCATCGTCTACAATAATCTATAAATACCTATAAAAGTACACAAATATATATGTACATATGTATGTTTATAAATATGATCGTAAAACGAAACGATGACTGGATTGCATACATTGATAATGAAATAACTGTATAGATATGATAAAAGTTTACCACCAATAACGGTTTGATAATTGATATAAGGTATTTAGGTTTTTATATTAAATTTATAATGGTCAAAACTGGAAATTATATACATACATATGTATACGTCTGTATATAATTATAATGGCGGTACTCGCACATTTGTCAAATTTTAAATGATTTGCATAACTGTGAACTTAGCATTATTAAAGTATATTGCGAATATAAAATTTAGAGTAAAGCTAGCAGCGTATTTAGATATTTTTGCTTTGTATATAGCAAACAAGGATTGACCTTGTATAATTACACTAAAATATGTACCGTATTGATAAGATTAGAAAAGTTATAACCTAAAAAAAATTTAAATTCCTTAAGACTCGATTTCCTTGAGGGGAGAGTAGGGTTAATTTGTGTAAAACAAGACCCATTTTTATGAGCTTTTCTTATGAGACAAGTAAAATCTATTTTTATAAACATTAGAAGAATTTTCTATTGACATTAGAAGAATTTTCTATTTCCATGGAGAAATATTAAAAAGTTCGGCAATAGCAGCAATTCCTCTGGAGTGTCTCGAAAAACAGTAGGTTTGCTTTGTTCCGAGGAGGTTTTCGAATTTTATATTTTTCATTTTTTTAGAACACTTTGAAGGAAAACACGACTTTTAGCGAAAAATCTAAAAAGCTAGTTTGTTATTGTAAAATAAAATTTTTTTAAGAAATTTGAAAATAACCCTCCGGCGTTAACTTGTAAATTATATACAGAGAAGGTGCTCACGATTTCAAAAGAAACAAGGGAGTAGTTTTGAATTTAACCTGAGTTGTGGAGAAAACGCTTTCAATTTGTAAAACGTTCATAAGACAGGTATAAAAATAGCTTCGTCTATTTTGTTCCAATAAACTTGAAATTCAGACACAACTTTCTGGAGATATTTTGCAATTTCATACGAAAATACTCATAAAATTTTTTTTGAAAACCCTACTACTCCCTTAAGATGGCATAACTTTTGTTTTAACACAATATTTTTTGCAGTTTCACCAATAAGGACACTCCACTTCATATTAATGTTATTAAATTTCAAGCGAATTATATTGATATGTGGGTCAATATTAGGTAAATAAAATTACTTACCAACAATTATTGGATTATATTCATATTCTAGTGCTGCTCTTTTTGCTGATATACGAAAGTAGGTCTCACAAGCACCCTGTATTGAACCAGCACAAGCCAACACCACAACAAAGATACGTAATCGTGCCAATTTAAGGCAACTGGGGCCATTACAACAGCCAAATAATTTTACACCACAATCGACACTATCTGCGAAGAGAACATACATAAGTTATACACTCGTTAATAATGTAACTCTAAAAATATGAACATTTCATATATCACAACACCATTACAATTTTTATGTTCAGTATTTAACACTCATTCTAATGCTAACCGTTTGGTATATTATTGGCGTTCACGGCTATTTGCGATAAGTCCGAACTACGTGCACCCGCCGTCATTTTGAAGGCATCTACTATAGGTCTGATATAAAACAAAGCATGAGGTAAATATGCCTTTTCTAATCTGTTCATTTACACTTGCTTTGCTCCGATATCGCATTTAGTTTAAAATAGCCATCTCAAACAAACTGACGCACACACGAAAATTCAAACTAAATATTATTGCTATAGCACTTAATTATACGATTTTTCGTTAATTATTAATATTGGAACAGAATAAATTGTGTTTATTTTCGTTATTAAACTTTCGTCGTTATTCGAAGCAGACAAATGACTAATACAACGATTCGCGCACAGGTGGAATCCACCGTCATTCTACCTTACGCACTCAGGTTTCATTCCTTATCGGAATAAGGCAGTTTTCAGATAAGTAGCCCAGCGTATATGCACTTTATCAGCTTTTGATAAGCAATATCGCTCTCACTGCTCCGGAGCGTATCGGCGTGTGTGTGCTTATATGTATGTACAAGTATTGCCAACCAATGCAACATGTTGAGTATGAAGCAAGTTAACATTAGAAGTGTTGCAAAATACTCTAAAAAATGGAAACCGGAAATCAGCTTCAAACTAATTTAATTTGTTTGATTTGAGTAGCACTTGGATCAAACGTTCACTTTTATTGAATTGTTCCCGTCAACCAAACCTAGGCACTCGAATGATTTATGTACCTTATTCCGATAAAAATTTTCTATTGATAACAATTTATTTTGTTTTGTGCAAGATCTATGTTATTAAATTTAGTTATGGTATATCTACTTATACTTGCTTGGTATGGTTAGGTTTACTGGCAGATCCACAAGATATATATCATATCATATGAGACTATTATATACAGTCCTTTGTGAAGTCAGAAATTACAGCTCCTACATTCAGATCTTATATGGCCACATAGCGCAAATCTGCTTTGCCGCTTTATTTTTATCTCCCCAGTTCTATGGCATGTCTGAAAGTTTGAGCTCCCAGGTGTTTAAGTCTTGTTCTTGCAAAAGCTGAACAATCAAGAAGGAAGTGTTAAAATGTTCCTACCTTTTCTTCTTCCAAACAGCTTCTATTTACAATTTGCATCCGATAAGATTCTCAACCTAATAGCATTGATACCGATAACGCAATAACCACTTCAACTAGGGACGGACTAGCCTTACTGTGGGCGCACTTCATTTCACTAGAGCTCTGGCGAGTTACCTTGAGCCAAAGGGATCTTGTTACAATTCAAGAACTAATGATAGCCCAGTGCCTTTGCGAAACCTAGCTATTCAGTTATAGAACGCACGAGGTTGCTGAGCTTTTGCCCTTTCCCATTCCACTGACAGCGAGGCTAAGCTATGGTCTTTCACACCTACATACTTATGTATGGGCATATATTCAGTTTGACCACATCAGTACTATTCACAGAGGAATTATATATCACTATCAGTGAGCAGCGGAAATATTTTGCATCCTGCTCCTGTGCTTATACCACAATCCGTCATTTAAATTTTCCCGATCCGGTCCGCGAGCGGCCCAGCAAAATTGTCTTTAGTAGGCAAATCGCTGAAGGAAGCGGGTGGCGTAAATATTTTTCAATATTTTACATCCTGCCCCTGTGCTTTACAATCCTGCATTTAAATTCTCTTCATCCGGACCGCGAGCGGCTCAACGAAATTCTGTTGCTTTGCTACCAGGCGCTCAGTAATGACAGGCAACGGGTGGCGGAAATTTTTCGATATTTTATATCCTGCCCCTGTGCTTATACCACAACCCCTCATTTAAATTTTCCTCATTCCCCGAGCGGCTTAGAAAAATTCACTTTACTGGGCAAATCGCTGCTTCGCTACCAGGTGCTCAGAAATACCAGGAAGGGGGTGGCGGAAATATTTTTTTGGATATTTTATATACTGCCCCTGTGCTTATACCACAACCCCTCATTTAAATTTTCCTCATTCGTTCCCCGAGCGGCTTAGCAAAATTCACTTTACTGGGCAAATCGCTGCTTCGCTACCAGGTCCTCAGAAATACCAGGAAGGGGGTGGCGGAAATATTTTTTTGGATATTTTATATCCTGCCCCTGCGCTTATACCACAACCCCTCATTTAAATTTTCCTCATTCGTTCCCCGAGCGGCTTAGCAAAATTCACTTTAGTGGGCAAATCGCTGCTTCGCTACCAGGTGCTCAGAAATGCCTGGAAGCGGGGGGCGGAAATATTTTTTTCAAAATTTTGCATCCTGCCCCTGTGCTTATACCACAATCCCTCATTTAAATTTTCCTCATCCGGTCCGCGAGCGGCGCAGCAAAGTTCTCTTTATATAGGCCAATCGCTGCTTCGCTACCAGGCGCTCAGAAATACCAGGAAGCGGGTGGCGGAAATATTTTTTTCAAAATTTTGCATCCTGCCCCTGTGCTTATACCACAATCCGTCATTTAAATTTTCCCGATCCGGTCCGCGAGCGGCCCAGCAAAATTGAGTTTAGTTGGCAAATCGCTGCTTCTATACCCGGCGTTAAGAAATACAAGGCAGTTGCCAGCGGAAATAATTTTTTGAATATTGTTACATCCTGCTCCTAAATGTATCTTAGAATTATTGCCATCCGGCGAACAGCGGCCGAGGAAATGTTAATTTTGTGGGAAATTTGCTGCAGACTTACCAGGTACCCAGAAGCAGCCAGTAGGGGTCAGATAAATCTTTAAGAGCTTATAACTTCTACAATTAATGACCGAATTCGATGAACGAGGTGTCGTTGGAAAGATCAAAGCTTGGCGCATCTAATCAAAGTATCGCTTTTAAAATGTGTTAATGTATTCAACGTTGAATTAGAGAGACAAATAATATGGTTTTTTTATGGAAAATACGTGTGATGCGCTTAATAGGTGCGCAATTGGTTTGGTTATGTTGCTAGATTATGTAGCTATCGATATATTTGCTAATTTATTGCAAATTTTGTTTCATATTTTGAAATTACCAAACCTATAGCCAAATAGATACATGTAGCTCTTACACTTATTTTTTAGATTTATTTGGTCTTTTTGTCCCAAAATATTTTACAAATACCGAGTGGACTATGCCGAAAATATTGTTATATTGGGTAAATGCTGAAAACTGTATGTTTGTATATTTTGCATAGATTGCAATTATTAATGCATAGCGGTAAAAATTAAAAAAATTTTTCTCAAAATAAGTATTTATTTTTTATTGGTACCATATTTTGTTGTTATTTATATTGCCTTATTATTAATTATTACTTTAGTTAATGTCGTTTCATTAAGATTACAGCTCGTCAGCTTTGCAGTTATCTGCGATTCCGCTGTGGCCCGGCAGCCATACTAGTATTATGACAAAAAGACTCGACGTCATTGATAGTGAGGATATTTCTTAACTAGCTTTGAGCTCCCAATCGCTACTCGGAAGACGTGAAACTTGTAAGACTGCCATATTTGTAAGACTCTCCAAATATCGTAATGTGAAAAAATAATAAGTTTGGAGAAGATGCGCACGTTCTTTATACCCTGAACAGGGTATATAAAGTTTGCCACGATGTCTGTAATACTCAGAAAGAAAGGTAGGAGATCCTATAAAATATATATATATATACATATAGTTTTTGAGATATCGATCTGAAATTTTGCACACTTCCTTTTCTCCCCAAGAAACTACCCACTTGTCGGAACCAATGGTATCGGATCACTATAGCGTATAGCTGCCATACAAATAAAACATGGACAATCGAAATCAAGTGCTTGTATGGAAAACTCTGTTCTTTGACGGCAATGATGCCATCAGCGAAGAAATTGTATGTGATCGCATCACTATAGCACATAGTTGCCATATAAACTGATTGATCAAAGTCAAGTTCTTGTAGAAAATCTTTTGTATATGTGAAGGATATTATAGCTTCGGTGCAACCGAAATTAACGGATAATTTCACTCGAACTCAAACATTAAAAGTGTAATTTCTAATTCACAAACTACTTAGGTACGTACTTTATAAAATCGTACAACTGGGTTCACATTTTTGACAAATTTCACACTGATTTAATTGTCAAAACATTTGTCTAATTTTACAAATTTCATAACACAATTCAATATTTATTGCACGCAATATACAAAATGCAGACTCATTCCGTTAGAATGCTTGTACTTTTTGTGCTTGTTACCGCGGTACATTGTGGACCCGTTTTGATTTGGCATTCCAAAGTGTAAGTTACATGATGTTTATTTTAAGTATATATAAATATGATGATTTTCATCTTTACGCTTTAGCGAATCGAAATCTGTGTTTCCAAGAATAAGTCAACACGAATTTATTAATGAAATTAAAACGTTACTGGAGACGAAGATGGTCGCTGCCTTCCTATATAAAAGGGTATGCTGCATATTAAACATGAGTTATTAGAAAATTCCATTTAAAATTATTAAAATTTTAAAGCTATCCTTAAAGAGTTTCCGTTGCGAAAGCTGTTTCCCATTTCTAAGTCAACAAACACCGGCATTCTTCTACGCTAATGTTGAGAGAGCTGAGAAAGCGCTTTTAACTTTAAATGTCACAGCACATTTAAAGGCTAGTAACGACGGAAATTTGAATGCTCCTTTATCGTGTAAAGTTGGGACGTTATATACGATTTCATTGAATGTCTTAAGCAGATCGTCAAATCCATTGAGAAGTTGCGGTAAGGAAATGTTTTAATATTTATTTCACACTGAGAAAATGCTCGTGTAACTTATTTATTTTTGAAGTCTTAAGGAGATATACCATACCTCAATATAACATATTGATTTCTTGCTTTACAGATGATGTCATAAAAGCAATAACGCAGGCCTCAGGATGCGCAGATGTTGCGTACATGTTCTTGGGTACGCAAGGTGAAACAGTTGAACCAATCGGCCACCTTCACCAACACAATCAGCTCTCATTTTATTTCACGGAATTTCAGTTGAAAACGGCAGATGATGTGGAAACTATACAGTTGCAGAGTATGAATGTGTCCGGCATGGATCCCATATTAACAGTCGAATTTCAAGCCAATAATACAAATGCATCGCTTACATTCAGTGTACTACTTAGCAATGGATACTTTGAGATCAAATCATTTAAATACAACGATACGCAATATTACGTAACTGATCTGTATGCACCGCAAACCTCGTCGTATTCATGTGGTAAAATATCACTCCATAAAGATAAGGAGACAATTATATTAAGAAGAGTGCAAATGCAATATGATAAAGACAAACGTGTTGGTGATTTCAGGTTTAAGGATGCCTGGACATGTGAAGCCTTCACATCACCTGCCATTATATCTGCTCTTTTTATTACTGTCATACTACTCACTGCTTTATTCGTCGGTATTGGTATGCTGATGAGTGTGCAGCCACCAACTAAATACGAATCGCCAGGCGGACGTAATCTCTACATACATGTTAGAGATTGAAGTGCTTAGAAAAGCTGTTGACTGATTTAATTTAGAAATTTAAATTTGTTTTGATTTTTTATATTAAATAAAGTTACATTGATACTGGAATTTAAAAATTGATAAAAAATAGTTACTCATTTAAAAACTACTTATAGGTTGTAAAATAATTTTAATTGTAAAAGTATAAGCTATTTTAGCACAATGTGTAATTTGTGCTCATAAAACTGTAATTTTATATAGTTTGGATGATTGACTGAGCTATCGTAGCCGGCCCTGGTCCCGGGGGCGGTTATCCAGGTAGACACCTATATAACACCGTTGTTGCAAAGAATTCACAAATTTTCACAATTAAAAAATGTTTGCTGCGTTTTTTAAATATCGATAAAAAAAAGTGGTTCGACTTTCAAAAGACAATCTGGCACTTAGCAAACGCAACAGAAATGTGTTTCTGCGCTGACTTATGACAACGAATGAAACATGGATGCTTTATTACACACTTGAGTCCAATCGACAGTTCAGTGAATGGTTGTTGACTGATGAAAGTCATTCAAAGCGCCCGAAAACACAATAATCGGTCGGCAAAGTTTCAGAAAAATTTTTTTTTGTTTTTTGGATTGACATGGAATAATTTTCATCCCCTACCACGAACGTGGCAAAACTATCAATAACAATATTATTGTGCGTTAATGGAGCGATTGATTGATGAGATCACAGTTATGTTGAAAACTTTACAGTCGATAAAATATCGCCGCTCATATAATGTATATACCATATTAAGTAGTACTACTTCTGTATTCCATATAAAAATGTGATGAATACTTGTATCAGGAGAATTTTGTTGAAAAATTAACAAAATTTATGACACATTATTATATAATATTATTTTTATTGTAAATACATGTATGTCCGTATGTCTGCCACAAGCACGTACATGTATGTGTAATCGCTATCACAGCGACTTTCTCTTCCGTTCTGTCGGCACTTATAGAGGATTATGACGTAGCCACAACAAGCAAGCGTTCTCCACAAATCACTCACACACACTCAACGTACCACATTCAAGCGCATCATATTTCTCATTATTGTTATCCAAATAATGAAGCTTGTATACCAATCACAACGAAATTATGATTAATAGAATGCAGTGTGTGGCGCAGATTTGAATGTGGCCCAGTTGTGGCAATCAGTTTATTTCGGCACGCCAAGCCGATATCAACGGAACTTTCGCTTAATTTAATCGCAGCTATTGTAAAGTGTTATAAATTATTTTACAAACATTGGTTTAGTGTGAACTAATTATGCAAAATTTAAATACAAAAAAAATATATATATATATGGTGGAGAAGCGGAATTTTTTATAGTGTTCTTTATAAATTATATTAATAATTGAAGTCAAACATATAATATTCAATATTCTTCCGTTACATGTGAAGGCCTTAAGTATTGCAATACGTAATAATAATACAAGTAATTAGTATTGCTCAATTGTTAAGTGTGCGCGCATACTTGTAAATTTCGATTGGACTCTCCAAATTACGAGTTAAGGCCCAATTTGTTGATAAGATTAAAAATTAACGATAAATACAATAAATAATTGATAATAAACAGCAACAACATTATTTTTATACTAATCAAACTAAATTAAAAAAGTCTTCAATGACTTTTAGTAACTGAGCGAAGGTGGACGACATAGAACGTGTTTGGAGAGTACGAGCATTTTATCGTGAAAACGCGACTGAATTATCAAGAAAGTTGTTAAACGAATTTAAAGGAATTTTCAAAACAAAAAGTGTTATAAAGGTATTTGAAACAAAAACCTAGTGAAGTTAATTCAAATTATTTGCATTTCTGTTGTGCAAAACAATATTAATCAATGTGAAAAAGAGAAAGTTTAAAAACATATACAGTGAATATTGGAATTAAAACAAAAAAAAAAAAAATCAGTTTGAAAGAAACAAAGTCAAAATTGTGGCGGAACACATGGAATGCATAAAGGGTGTTTGTGGCGCTGTGGTTCAAAAAATCTATATAAAAAAGAAACAGTTATCAGCGCAAAACGAAAATAAAAATATTTTTAGTCTATAATTTTTATATTGAAACAATTTTCTATCTTGCTCAAGTATGACATTTAGCATTAGCTGCTTGTTGCACGATTCGACGAACTTATTAGACTTTTTTAGAAAGAAATTATAGCAAAATAAACACAAATAAGAGTTGTCAAAACTGCCAAATAGATAAGAAAACTAACGGAAATTTGCGAATACAGCATGAATATTGATCACAAATTTAAATCAATATTGCACTTTCTGTAATGTTTGTGAACTTTTCGCATACACGTGTGCATTCGAATAATGCACAATTTCGCCTAAAATGCCCAAAATTAGCGTCTTATTTCCTAAAAACTAGTTTATCGCAAAAAACTTTCAAGATAAGCATACCTGTATGAAATACATATGTATGTATAAATTCATCGAATACCATTACTACGAATAATTGTGGTATATTACAATATTTTTCAAGTATATTTCTATATTAATATATAGTAGGGTGGCTCTAAAAACACAATTTTTCACTTGGTACACTGAAAAAGGCGGACACCTCTACGAAAAGCTCTCCAAGTATGAGCCCTTAACTGTAACAGTAAGCTCTTCCGCGTTACAGTTTTCTATTTTTTTTCTTTTTATTATCAGAAAGAAAAATTCATATCTCGCTTACAACTACTTGAAAAAATATCTCGTTTCATAGATTTTGTAGAAAATTTACTGGTGGCGAACAACTCGACGATTATTTGCGCTCATAGAGGAACTGCCTTGATTGCATTTGTAGGTTAGAGTAGCGTATATGCCGTTATTAGATTATAATAAATATTTAATTTATTTTTATTTCTGATCACAACAATGAACAAAATGATGACCGTCAAAATTTTTTTTAATAAACGCTACTCAACTAGAAACGTTAAACCTCATAATCAGAAATACAGAGTAATCTAATCAGCTCGGTTTTTAACGGTTCTATACAAATATTTCGTATAATCCGTTATGCGTTTAGTTTATAGCTAATAGACTTAATTTAGAAATTGTGATTTTTATTTTATGAAAAGTTGATAGTGTAATTTTCAATATTTTCTTTAACAACTATTATTCGTTTAATAGTCGTAATTTTATTAGCGTCACTATTTAATGCTGAGCGCTCGAAATGGCGGAAGCGCAACTGCGTCAACGACCCGGTGAATACCTATGTGGTTTAGCCAAATGGCATCCCACTTGGATGCAACGCTACGCAACAACAAAGTCATTTATGGTAGTCTATGGACTGCTGGGCACCATACAAGCCATGTCCTACATGTATTTCGTCGTTACGTTAACAACAATAGAGAAACGCTTCAAAATTCCTAGCCAAACAACAGGTAAATATTGTAATGCAAAGCGACTAGAAGTACATAAAAACATATTAAACATGTAAGCGAGCGCTAAGTTCGGTTGTAACCGCACATTTTATACTCTTGTAACTTGCGAGGCCGTTAACTTACTTTCAGGCATTGGCAAAACTTTATATTAACACTGGGGGTAGCTAAGGGAAGTATGAATCGATTCTATCCATATTTCACATAAGGGCATAGTATTATCAGGAGAAGATTTGACCGAATTTCAATCTCACAGATTGACCGATATTTTCTATAAAATGTGCGCTGAAGGAACTGGGGTCCACGTATTCGGTATCTGGAGGTTCAAGCCTGTTCAAGCTGTGGTCTGATTTTGCCAATTTTTGGTCATAAAGTGGCTGTTGGGAAGTAGGTGTAGATTATCATCCGATTTCATCCATTTTTACAATGTTGATAAAAGAGCTTAAGACATTTATTCTGAGCGAATTTGGTTATTGTATTTCAAGTGATTTAAGACATATGTGCATTAAACCTCTTAGAGGGCGAGGCCATGCCCATATTTAGACCGCAAGTGCCCCTTGTTACTGCCATTCACTGTGTCAAACTATAGTTTTTCATCTCAATTTAGTGCTTAGTTATTGTACTCCATAGGTTTTCGTTGAATGGCATTTCATGGGCGTGACAGTGATTTACGAACTCGTCCTCACTTTTTTTACCAAGTAAGCCGTGCACCAAGCTTCATAATGATATCTCAATTTTTACTCAAGTTACAGCTTGCACGGACGGACGGACAGACAGGCAGTCACTCGCCATACTGCTCATTTATATATATATATATATAACTCCATATCTATATCGTTTAGTTTTAGGTGATACAAACAACCGTTAGGTGAACAAAACAATTATAAAAATTTACGCATCGAACTATAAATCGAAGGCAGTGTACGGTGCGTATGAGCAACCAAACGGAAATAATAATGGCTTTAAAATCATTTCTTGTGTTTTGCACTATTAAAATATGCTGCAAGTTGTTTTGAATTAAAAAGATATACAATCGTTTTGTTATCTATGTATTGTTTAAAATAGAAAATTCGCAAATTTTGAATTTTTTGTGCACCGCCATTTTGAAATAATTAACGGGTTTTTGGTCTAAAACCAGCGTCATTACTTTTAATTTTTAATATTTTCTCATTAATTTCTAAAATAGCAAGATATAATAAAATTTAAATTTCTTTATATGTGTATACATCTCGCTAATGCACAGTCGGTTAGTAAAATTATATACATACATATAATATATAAAAGTCTTGCTTAATTAACGAGTATGCTATTTTTGGAATTAGGAAATAAAAGCAAACCAAATCTTATTGTAACTTCTCTATATGCATTTTTTCTAGTTGATTCCCTATACATATATGCATATATATTAGTATATACTATTTACTGTGTTTTTCTATTTCACACTTTCTCATTTTACCGTTTAATAGGTATTATCTTGAGCGGCAATGAAATATCGCAAATCCTGCTGTCGCTTATACTCAGCTATATTGGAGGTCAACGAAATCGCCCACGTTGGATTGCCTGGGGCATTGTGTTTTGCGGCCTATCCTGTTATATACTAGCTTTGCCACATTTCATTTATGGCGCCGGCGATGGCGCGTTACATCTCACCGTGGAATATTTGCAAGAGCAGTCGTCGTCCAGCTCAACGTTAAATATGACAAGTTCATTCTCATTGGTTGTAGGTGAACGAAATTAGTACATTTCATGTTATCATATCACATTTTATATCTGCAGATGTATGTGTGTACCATACATTTGTGTGTGGGTGTGCGTGTTTGCTGTACACAATAATTTAGTTCAATTTAAATCGTCCGAATTAAAATTTACTGTGCGCTAAGCTCAAAAATACTATATACATACGCAAATATATACAAACCTACACTTCTGGACAAAAAAATGGGTTTGATGGGTATCTAGCAAAAACTATATATTTGAATTAAAATTAATTAATAGTTTTTATAGGTTTCATATGTTTCAAATATAATATATATACATAATATATATTAGTGGAGCGAAAAAATTTTTTTTTTGCTTAGCCTGGGGGTAAAATCTGTAGATTTTAAAAAAAGAAAATTTTTGGCCAACAAAAAAAATTTTTAACACCTAGAGGCGGCGCACTCAGTTTTCAAGTAAATTTCGAGTTAAATTTTTTTTTTGTACAAAAAAAAATTATTTTTGGTTTAAACTCTTCACGTTTATATAAAATGTACCGAATTTGACGGTTTTTAACTCAAATTTTATTTTACCGCTTAAGGAAAGCATGTGGTCATTTAAGACTTTTTTTTAAAACTCCAATAATGACCACAAAAATATTTACGAAATAAAAATTTTAACTCGAAAATTTACTTTAAGAATCTCTACGTGTTAAAATATTTTTTTTTTTGGCAAAAAGGTTTCTTTTTTTATAGTCTACAGATTTTACACCCCGGCTAAGCAAAAAAAAATTTTATTTTTCCGCTTCACCCTATTATATATATACAATATGTAATTAATTGATAGTTTTTATAGGTTTCATACCTATGTTTTAAATACAATATATATACATATATATGGCGTCTCCATTGTTAGAGTGGACCATTACTATTACCCAGAATCTAGGTTCGATTTCTCTGCTTCGATGGATATGAAAAAGAAAATTACTTTAAAAATCTCTACGTGTTAAAAATTTTTTTTTTTTGGCCAAAAGTTTTCTTTTTTTATAGTCTACAGATTTTACCCCCAGGCTAAGCAAAAAAAAATTTTATTTTTCCGCTCCACCCTATTATATATATACAATATGTAATTAATTGATAGTTTTTATAGGTTTCATATGTTTTAAATACAATATATATACATATATATGGCGTCTCCATTGTTAGAGTACACCATTACTATTACCCAGAATCTAGGTTCGATTTCTCTGCTTCGATGGATATGAAAAAGTATTTTTTTTCTAATAAAATCAACTCTCTGTAGACAAATCAATTTCTTTCTTTAAAAACAATCTTGTAATTCAAAACCGTCCGCAATCCGTTTAAAACTTCGAGATCGATCCTTCCACTTGTTTTAAAAAGGAGGTGTAACTAACGTTATAATGATTTGCATCTCAAGCTCAAAGCGCTATAAAGTCATAAAGATTTCGAATTTTATACTTGTAGGACGTTCCCACCGCTGTGTTGAGCTACAGCTTCCCCAATCTCAACGTCCATGTGTAAATATGAACACACAATGTTATCGTAAATAAATATTTAATATATTCTAATGTGCGCAGCACAGTAATAAACATGTTTATAAGTAACTAGTCCATTGTTTACTAATTTGTCATTGCCATAATTTCATTTCAGAACGCGTCCATACAAAGTTCGCAAGAATTGTGCGGTCTAATGAAATCATCACAAGAATGCGAGTCACTGCTATCCATTGTACCGTTGGTCTTGATTTTCCTCTCACAATTCGTGCTCGGCATTGGCAATACTCTGTATTATTCGCTGGGTCAAACATATCTTGATGATAATACGAAAGAGAGAAATACTCCGCTGATGTTGGCCGTGGCCATGGCGCTTAGAATGATCGGACCGATCGTGGGTTTCTTTTTGGGTAAGCTTTAATCAACTGACGTTAACTGAATGTGATAAAAAACATCAAGTCTCTCAATGTGAACTGACTTCTTGATAACCTTAAGGATTTGCCATCTCAAAGATTCCCTCTCGAGAAAATACTGTATCATTTACAAGTATTTGGTTCGCTGAGCCCTATATTACAGCGCTGATTTAAACTGACCTCATACTTATTTTAAACATTTTTACCTTACTAATAATAAAAATTTGGCGTCAACTGAATCTTTAGCCTTTTAAAAATATCAAGATATAGAAAGATATCATGCTGACCTGTTAAATTGGCATAAAATATTCTTAAAAACTTGTTTTGCAGCGTGTTCAAACTGATACTTTTCGACTTCTCAAGTCTCTCTTCCTATCTTAAGGGGTTACATGGCTTTCACGGCTTTAAACCATTTTTTTTATTGTTTTATTTAATTCCATAATATCTCTAAAATATTGTCCTAAATGCCAAGTTGATCCGAATAATAGTTCTGGAGATACAGCCTTGAAAAGTTGCGCACTCGAGGTCAGTTACTAGAACTAGATATAATATTATATATACTTGTAGTCACTTAAAACTTTGAACGCGTTTTTCTTGATGTGTTTTCAAAGTCGGTTGCCAAGAACTACTCAACCGATCTTAATGAAATTTTACACAAGTCTTCGAGATATAATTTACAAGGTCTTGAAGGAAAGATTTTTGGTTCGTTCAATTACAACTATTAAAAACAAACGTCGAGAAAACGTTTACTTTTAAAAGTTCGGCTGTCAACGCGAAGGCACCTCTGTTCGAGAAACTGTCGTAATGCACGAGTTTTGAAAATTTCAGAAAATCCTTACAAATATGTATCTTTGGAATAATAAAAACTTTGAATAAAATATTTCATTTTTTATATATAAAAAAAATTTATTAAAATAGAGCGTTCTTTGCTCGAGGAAACCCATGTAACCCCATAACTCTTTATATTACACACGTTCACAGTAACTCTGAAGAACAGATAGCATTTGCGCATTTTGGACATATAATTTTTTCAATCTTTACTATAATTTCAGGTTACATTTCATTAACTATGTATATCGATCCCTTCAAAAAGCCCTTAATCGACAATAAAGATCCACGCTGGTTGGGTGCCTGGTGGTTTGGCTGGATGATATTGGGCACTTTGATGGTGCTCTTCTCTGGTCTAATCGGACTCTTTCCTAAACAGTTGCCAAAAAAGAAGCCAGAACACTACAACTCACACTTGCCACGGATGATGCGTTTAGAGCAGCTTAAGAAGGAAGATGGCATATCGTTGGGCAGCACGCTATCTCTTACGGCAGCGCTGGATGCAAACGCAGCAGCTGCGGTTGACGCAGACTTTCCAAAACTGAAAGGTTTGCTGTAAATATAAACAAATAACTAATTTGTTCATCCATAAGCTCTGCGTACATTCATTCAATAGATTTTCCGAAGGCTCTGTTGCGTTTATTACGCAACAAATTGCTTATATATAACATCATATCGGGTGTTTTCTATATTTTGGGTGCTGCTGGCTATATGACATTCTTGTCCAAATATATGGAGGTGCAATTTCATAAAACCGCACAAACCGCCACTGTTATAGTGGGACCAATATCAATAATTGGCATGGTGATTGGTCTCATCGGTTCCGGCATCGTTATATCGAAGAAACATCCATCGCCGAGCAAAGTACTCATGTGGAATATTATAGTGGGGTGTGTGTATATTTTGGGGCAAACGTCGTATATTTTTATGTATTGTGGTGATTCGATTTCTCTGCAGAATGGTGGAAAGTAGGTAAATTAATTTTCGATTTAGCTTTTTTCATTTATTTGGTGTCGTTTTTTTTTTTTTAATTTTCTCTCAGCTATAACTTCACCACTCAATGCAATAAAAATTGTAGCTGCGATAACGTGGCGTATTCGCCAGTCTGTCACGAGGCCAGTGACACAACATTTTTCTCTGCGTGTCACGCGGGCTGTAAAGCGTGGAACCCCAAGGAGAAGGTGAGTTTTTGGAAGAATTTTATTAGAGAAAAAACTTAATAACGTACATATGTATATTATACATAAAATTTGTTATGTATTCTTTACTTACAGACGTTTTCAAATTGCTCCTGCATTGATGTTTTCGACCCCGTCTTTACGAGTACTGCCACCTACATGTCTACCACACCCAGCTTTCTGAGTGACTTAAGCACTGAACAACAACCACTTTCACAAAAAAACTTACAAATTATCAGCGGTATATCTACAACTGGCACGCCGGTACCAATACCCACTACGATCCTTAATAATGACGATGTCACCGTACCAACAACAGCAAGCATATGGACAACAACACCAGAACTAACAACAACTGCTAATGAAGTTCTCGCACGCGCCAGCCGTACTGTGAGCACACTCTCCGATATACTCACACCAGGCGTGTGCTTGAAGGGCTGTTCTGTGGCCTTTTACAGTTTCACTATTGCCTCGATGATTGTTAATTGGTTCGGCTCTTCTGGACGAATTGGCAACTTGTTAGTGAACTTTCGCGCCGTTGCAACAAAAGATAAATCCTTCGCACAAGGTCTTTCCCTAATGATGATTAGTTTGTTAGCACTTATACCGGGTCCCATTATATTTGGACGTATAATAGATTCAACTTGCCTTGTGTGGACGGAGACTTGTCATGGCAGAGGCAATTGCCAGTTGTATGATCAGACGAAATTCCGTTACTACGTAAATATATTAGCGTTGTGTAAGTATGAAAATTTGTGGTATATCTACATTAGGGTGTCCGTTATTACGCCAAGTTGATTTTATGTTTGCCACGCTGTTTGTAACAATCAAAAGTAAACGTCGGAGACCCTATAAAGTATATATATAAATGAGCAGCTAAGTCGATTTAACGATGTCCGTCTGTATATACGCGAGAGACTACTCTCAGTTTTTTGGGATATCGGTCTGAAATCTTTCACACATCTTTTTCTCATGAAGAAGCTGCTGATTTGCCAGAACCGCCGAGATCGGAGAACTACAGCATATAGCTGCCATACAAACTGAACGATCGGAATCAAATACTTGTATGGAAAACTTTTTCATTTGTCAAGGTATTTTCATGAAATTTGGCATAGATTTTCGAACGTATTATTCATATCGAACCACTGTAGTTGTATGTCTGCCATCCAAACCAACCGATCAAAATCAGAATAAAGAGCTATTTATATTTTTCTTTTATGCTATAAAAAATGCACCTGTGAAGAGTATTATAGCTTCGGTGTAATCGAAGTTGTTGTTGTTGTTGTAACGGTTACCTAGTCCCCGTTTGGGTGATAAATTCCAGATTCGTTGTCGTCGAGGTCATCTAACGGGAGGCCCAGGAAACGAGCTGTTTCGACGGGGTCGGACCATATGGAGAAAGGTGTTAGATGGGTGTAACCGAAGTGAACACTTTTTCTTATATTTTTTTTTTGCAAACTGATGCAACGGGGATACAACGTAAACAAGCTCTTTATTTTCAGTTTTAAACGTGCCTAAATAACTTTACTTTCCCCATAACATATGTATTTATTTAACATGGAATTTTTTTGTATCTCAAAAACGTAAACTTGGGAAATAAGGGACACCTTAGCCTACAGATGTACCATACATACATATGGTTTGTGTTTAGTAGTGTGACAGAAATGTGTCATTTCAGCGCTTACGTCGATCGGTGTGATCTTCGACATTTTAGTCTGGTATCATGGCAGACACCTTGATTTATATGGAGAAAAAGAGGCGCAAAAGCTCGAAGAAATGCGTCGGAGAGATAAACCAATCACACCGCTTTTAGCACATGGCTCATAATATTATTTAATGTGTACCGAGTGTAACGTTATTCCTTGTATATGTATGTATATTTGAATCATATCGCCTTGCAGATGTATGTATGTATGATGTTGCATAGGTATTTGAAAAGTACTCAAAAAATTGTATTCACCTGACGTTTATACATATATGTTTGTGTATATGAGAATATTTGTACATATATATGTAGGTAATTGAAGAATACACGTGTAGAAAGTATACAAGTATATTCTAATTTATTTTCCTCAGTGTGTAAAAATATACCTCTATTATAGGTATAATTGAAAAATATGAACAATAATTATAAATATGAATTTTAATTTTTAGAAGTTTAAGTTGACAATAAACGTTGTTTAAAAAGTGTAATTAATATAGATAAATATATATAAAAAACGCAAATATAATTATAAATATGCTCTCAGCGATATAACTTTATTTACAGAAATATTTTTGTAGAAGATTTTATAAAATTTTAAGCGTTAATGTACATAGTTTGAGAGTATTTTGTTAATGAATTGAATATATGTATATGTATGTACATTCGTCGGATTAAAACATAATAGAACGTACATACATGTTGAAAAAAATTTGAATGTGAAATTCAGTAATCAGTTGTAATTGCAAATAAAGTTAGTATTTGTATGCAAACAAGCCTTATTTCTTCGGAAAAAGTAATACCCACTTGTTATTCATATTCAGTTCAACATTAAAAGGTTATGGTTATAAGTATACAACACTAAATTTCAAAATATCGTTTTTTTAAATATACGAATGATAGTTTAAGGGATTTCCTCGAGCACAAAACGGCCACTTTTCAATAATTTCTTTTCATATAAAAAATTAAATATTTTACTCAAACTTTTTATTATTGCAAATATAAATAGTTTACAAAGATTTTGTGAAATCAAAGGAAAGGTTTCAAAGGAATATATTCAAAAATCGGCCATTATAACGTCATTTCCAGTAGTAACACGGAAAAAAACGCCTGCGCGTTGTCAGCAGAAGTTCTTACAGAATCACCAAAAGTGTTATGGAATTAAATAAGATAATAACAAAAATCGATTTTTTGAAGCCGTGAAACCCATGTAACCTCTTAATCAGCTACCAAAACGTTGTTTTCAGAGTCAGCGAGGAATGTTTCCCCGAAAGGACTGGACCGATCGGCTTGAAATTTTCACACGACTTTTTTTTTAGATATATTTGTCAGGTAATGAGCGATGGAATACGATTTTTTGACAATAATTTCGATTTTTTAAGGTAATCTGAAATGTAAATTTCTTTTAAATAAAAGAAAAAATTTTTTTTGGAAAGCCGGCATTTGGTCACAAATCAAAATTTTGAGTAGTCCTTCGAACATTACCTGTATTCAGCTAAAAATTTGTATATGTGTTGTATCTATGTATATATATATGTATGTATGTATATATATATATATGTATGTATGTATGTATATATGTATGTATATATGCACATACTATGCATGTGTGTGGAGACGCAATTTCAAATGAAATGGATAATCCATTATTTATTATACGCGAAGTCATACAGCAGGAACACCAAAATGCTTATCTCATACACTGTCCGAAAATGCCATCAGAATAGTAGGTCAAAATGTAGACCAAGTCGTAGATTGAACATGCAACTATATACCCAAACTAATTAAACTAATTTCCTTCTTTGTTTTAAAAACCAAAAATGTAGTTGTTTATGTTTAGCATTTTTACGCTTTATTGACATTTCACCGACATTTAATATGCGTATGTCTTTCATCTCTTTTAGCTGTAGTGTTCAATTTTTTGTTTTTCTTTTTTCAATAAATAAGAGGAAAATGTGTATGCAGTATTTCGTTTCAGTTTACAAGTTTACAATGTTTTAAAGCAATTAATGTCGTTTTTATTTGAATAATAATGTTTTTTTATTTTTTTATTTTTGTTTTTTTGTTTTTTTAGAAATGTAGTCGAAATTCTCACATACCTACATTAATAAAGATATAGTTCAATCATACATTTTTAAATATAAATTTTTATGTAACACAAAAGAAAAGGAAATTCGAATCTTTATAAAAGTTGCTTCTAATTGCTATTTACTATAATGTTCAGTAGGATAAATGCTGTTCGTTTGTTTGAATATGTTTTCAACGTTTAATAATATAGAAATAAGTATAATGTGACAACGAAATTTGATTTCATGGTTTCACCAACTAAAAAACAAAAAAAAAAATTTCATAAATATATTACATTTAGTTAAAACATGTGAATAAAATTAAATAAAATTCATTGGAAAGTAAATTATTTATGCAAGTACTACAAAAGCACATTCCGATATAATCCCATGTAGTTGTAGTTTTTTACTTTCTATAAACTAAGCATATAATGTTTGTGTTGGTTAAAAATATATATATAGCTATTATATGCTGATTAGGCATTGCTACCAAAAGCAGTCTAAAACATATTCATCATGGAAACGCATAAGATTTTGATTAACACGCAGTCTTATCATGTCTACATGCCGCAAAACTAAAAATGTCTTTTTATAAAAAAAAATAACAAAAAACAAAAACATTACGCAAACCTACTAATATAGTTCATTTGTTGAAATAACGAGGCAACATTTGAGTAGAAAATACCTTACAGCATTTATTTTTAAGTTATTTAGGTAACTTTGTGTGTATACATATGTATATATGTAAGAGTATTACCTTTCTGCCGCTTTGTCAGACTAGTCGACGTTAGACTGTAACCAATAACCACTTTGTTAGATTTATGGTACATGGCCAAAGATAATTTCCATAAATATTGCTAAAATATCATATTTTTTTTATTTCACTGATATTCTGTGGAACGTAGCTCATTGTGTTGTTGTTTCGTATGTATGGTCTAGTTTTCGTTTAGCGCGTTGCAATACATATGAAGTTAGCTTGTGGTAATTTTCACTTATTGAAGGGAACTGCCCTAATTTATTTATATTTGCTTTAGTATTTCGATTTTAAAATTCTATCGATTTATATATGTATGTAAAAAAAAATCATTTTCAAAATTACTTGTTGCTTACTTTTAGCAGCAGCTTTGTTAAATTTTCCTTTGCGTGTTACTTAACATTTACGTTTTCACTGAACTTATTTCAACTTTAACCGAAAATAATAAAATCAATAATTATATATAAGTTGTTTTTTTTTCATATTTAATTATAGCAATAATATAATTAATTATATATTTACGTTTACTTTTCATATTCTTGTGTTCGTTCGTTTTATATTGTTATAAGGTTTGTGTATTGTTATTTGTTATATACTCCTTTTCATACTCTACTCTGCCCAACTTCTGTGTAATTTTTAGTTAATGTGAAATGGCGTTAATGATTTACGTTTAACGAGTCCGATCCTGCTCATTTATCATATATTTTGTTTCTTATATAGAAGCAAGGCGTTTAGATGAATTTAGCTGTGCTCAATTTATTCGATCACCTTCAATACCTTGCCAATAGCAATAGTTTTGTCTGTAAGCGTTCAACAAAAAAAAAAAAAAATATTAATAATACAATAAGTAAAAATGTAATTTACATTTTGGTGGTACTTACTTTCGTCGCGAAGTGTAAATCTACCCATCTGTGGGAATAGTTTAAATTGTTCAAGGCAAATCATTCCGGAACATTCAATGCGCATAATTGCCACCTGATCTTGCTTAACAAATCTTGGACGTGTTTTTGATTTTTCGCCGGTCTTTTTGTCAACCAAACAAATTAAGGCCTAAAAGTGGAAAACTCGTTAAATCAATATAAATTTCTACACAATTAAACTTACTTTCACTGTAATCTCCTCTGCCGCACAGTGAATATGCATAACCGCCGAGTAACCAGCGCATATAATGGATTTGTGCTCCAAAATAACGACTTGCGCGTCAAAAACTTTGCCAGTTTTAATTGGGTTGGTAGCGTCGCATAGAACAAATCCGGGTGAAACATCTTCCTCTTCAATTCCCTATGGAAATTTATAATTATTATTAAATTTGAAAATTTTTAATTATTATTTATATTTATAAATTTTTAATTATTATTTATACCTATATATACATTTTTAATTATTATTAAAATTATAATTTTATTTATAAATTTATATTTATTATATTTATTTATAAATTTATATTTATTATATTTATTTATAATTTATATTTATTATTTTTTTTTATAAATTTTTAATTATTTAAATTTATAAATTTTTAATTATTATTTATATCTATAAATTTTTAATTATTACTAAAATTATAATTTTATTTATAAATTTATATTTATTATATTTATTTATAAATTATATTTATTATTTTTTTTTATAAATTTTTAATTATTATTTATATCTATAAATTTTTCATTTTTAAAAAAATTATAATTTTATATTAATTATTTTTATTTATAAATTTATATTTATTATTTTTTTTATAAATTTTTAATTATTATTTTTATACATACATTTTAATTATTATTAAATTTAGAAATTTTTAATTATTATTTATATAAATTTTTGATTATTATTCACATTACAAAGAAATAGTTTTATATGTATATATTTTGCAACGAAAAAAATATACATATAACAAGACTTTTTATACACACCTTCAGTTTAACTTTGATATTCTCGCCAGGACCCACAGAAGTAACTTCATCATCATCAGAGAATAGTTGATCCACTGACACTTGTGTCTGTAAATAATAAATAAAAAAAAATTAATTAATTAATCATTTAATTTGTTATTAAAATTTTAATCACTATTTCACTTACCCGGTTTGGCATCACCAATAAGTTTTGCCCCTTTCGCGCAGTGCCTGATTCTACTTTTCCCATTACCACTGTACCCATATCTTTATATTTGTCAACAATAGGCATTATGAATGGGCCATCTGCGTTACGATTGAGCGAAGGCAACTGATCAATAAATGGTATGAATGCCGGCCCTCCGTACCAGGGGCAAATATCGTCTGGTACAGGATCACGTAAACCAGCTCCGCCCAAACCAGAGCAAGGCATAAAGGTTAAATCCTTTGAAGGGTTGAAACCCAATTTTTTGAGGTATGGTAGAATCTTGTCCCTACATTCGTTGTAACGTATTTCATCCCAATTTACAGTGGGATCATCCATTTTATTAACCAATACCACTAAATGCTTAACACCAGCAGTCTTAGCCAACATAGCGTGTTCACGTGTTTGTCCTCCACGATCAAAACCAGTTTCGAATTCACCTTTTCGAGCCGAAATGACCAAAACAGCCAGATCAGCTTGAGCAGCACCACCAATCATATTGGGTACAAAACTCTTATGACCTGGTGCATCTAATATAGTAAAATGTTTACGCTCTGTCTCAAAGAATGCTCTGCCCACTTCGACAGTTTTTCCCTTGTCACGTTCTTCCTGATTTGTATCCAAAGCCCACGAAAGATACCAGCTTTCGCGCGACTTCTCCCGTGCTTCACGCTCATACTTTTCTAGTGTACGTTTGTCAACCATACCTGTGAGGTACATTATTTGACCACCGATTGTTGATTTTCCAGCATCTATAATGAATAATGTTATGATAAATGCCAAAATTTAGCTTGTGCAAATTTCAAAAATTAAATTGTATCAACACATACCAACATGTCCAATGAAAACAACATTAACATGTTCTTTTTTACTACGGGACTCTTCAACCTTCGGTGTTTTCTTTTTTGAAACTTTAGGCGTAATATCATTTTCAACATCATCAATAGCTTCGTCAGGTTCCTCGTCTTCCGGTGTTATGACAGGATCATCTTCAACGTCCCAACTATCGGCTGGGTCATTTTCTGTCAAAATTTAACATTATTTATAACTGTTAAACTATACGAAAATATTTTTTTATTATGTACATTAAGAAATAAACAGCTACATATTTAATTTTTTCTAGATCTACGTGTTCAAGTATTCAGCTCGTTGTTTAATAGATGCACAGCTGATTAGAAATGTGGTTTATATTACATTTTTTTCTAGCTTACTTTTTCTTATCATACGTGGCATTTTTTTATATTTAATAAAACTAACTACAATATGTTTTATGTAATTATGAGTGCAACAATAAAATATAGATTTAGGTACACTATTTAATTTACTAAATAAAATTGAACAAATATATAATAAAATTAAATGTGGTACCGGCCCACATGCAACTATCCGCTGACTAACAGCCGTACGCAACTTCGAATTGCTAACAACTAGACAACCACCATTAACAGGTTAGAAGCGGTTGAAACTACAAACAGCAGATTTGCGAATTTGGTCAGAAAAGAAAAGTAAAAATTGGTAAGTACAGGTACAATGCATTAACAAGTAATTTTTTAGTTTTTTTTTTTGTAATGTATATAACTTTATAAACTATACTTCAAAAATAAAATTGCTTTAAGAGAGGAACACGTCGCTTTAATGTATGCTAGATGCATACTGACTTGGTCAAGAAGCTAAAAGTTAGCTCGTTGAAAATAGAGCATTTTTTCGCAAATTTATGGAAGAAAGAGCCAACCGCCACTGGGAGAGAAAACTTATAAAAGCGAGCATGTGAAAGAAAGACGAACTCATTGTTTGCTTTTAAAGTTAAAAATAGATGGAGAAATTTTTTTACACAATTTGTCACTTGTAGTGCAATGCACTTAGAGTATTATTGCGAAAACTTTAATATAGCTATTTAAAATGCATAAAATTTGTACAAAAAATTTTTTTAAGAGGTTATGGTTAATATGTCAAAACTAATAATCGAGTTTGTTTTAGCAAAAACTGCTTGCAACTGGTCAATTCCTCTAGATAACAAAATAAAAACACTGATATTTAAAACTGCAAAGAAAACTTACAAACTTTGCATATACTATCAAACGGAGCATGCAGATAAAACTTAAAAAGTTTACAAATAAACTTTTATTTTAAATAAATGAATATACCTATATGTTCAATATGGAATATGTATTATTAATCTAACTATTCTTGGGGAGCCGATATAGTACTTTACCATTGTTGGCAGCAATTTTGTCTGCGGTGTTGATGTTTTCAATGGGCGCTGCCCCTAAAGGCGTTGTAACAGGCGATGTTTGCATTGGGGAATCAGCAGGAGTTTCTCCTGTTGTTCCAGGCGGTACCGCTTGTAAGGTAGCGACCGCGGCAGTGGCATTTAATGCATTTGTAGAGCCACCCGAACCTGCCGAATCTGGGGTTGTGGCGGGAGTGGCACTACCTGACGCCGGCAGAGATGATGCTTCCATAGGGACAACGTTTGGTGTGGTACCGGCTGTAGTTACTGCAGCTGCCGCCGCCGCTGCCGCACTTGCTGCAACGCTACTGTAACCATAACTGGGAACAAATTCAACTGCATTCACATTCAGTGTGGAAAATTTGGTTGCCATCTCCGTGTTATCCTGTGCCATATTTGCTATTAAATGTGTTTCTTGGTTATTCTCACAATCGTTCAGGATTAGTTGATCTTCGCAAGTATATTAGATTCGTTCGATGACGAAGATGGTGTATTTTTTTATTTTATTGGAGACACCTTTTCTCCTCCTCCACGTTTATCACAAAATTTTCAAGCACACACACGTACACGAATTTGGAACCGTACACGTTTTTACTTCTCTTTGTTTGATTGCAAAGATTATTAACTTGTATGCTTTCGGGAGGTCTGGTTACTCTTTCCTAACGTTCCACAATTTCTTAGCGTTCACTACATTCACCTCAACAAATCACGTTTTTCCTTGCCACTTTTGCAAACCGTTCTCTATTATAATGCTTTTTTCTATGACAAACTTCTCAAATGCAGTATTTAAAACAAACTGAAGTGAAGTTCAACTTAACGATTATTATCCAAACTGTTTTTGAGAATTATTCGCATTACATTAAGGCATGCAAAAATTACAAACCTTTGCGGTAACACGAAATCAGTTAAAATGGCCACGCATATAAGAAAAATTTACCTGCACCCATGTAGCAACATTCACCGGACAGCGTGGTATAAGAAACATGCCTTTAGGATTATAGGGTGATAAATAATTTTAAAAATGTAAGATTTTCTGAAAAAAATGTGGAGAAGTGAAAAATGGGTTCATATTTTGGTGTAAAAAATGTTTTCTTCGTTGTAAAATAATATTTTAATGTAAATATATGATTGAAAAACATTGCACAAAAAGTGCGAAATTTAATCAAGTTGGCTATATCGTTCTCTATTATTCAGCAGCCTTATGAAATTAACGTTAGATGTCTCATATATTCGTTAATTTTTCGTTAAATGATTAAAACGGACGTGTATTCGTAGCATTTTCACGACGCCATTTTATATTAGTTCTTTGATGTGTGAATTTCAATTAATGCTGTTTGAGTGAATAAATTTTCTTTCATTTCAAATAAGCAAATATCTATTCAGAAGCAGACAAAAAAAAATGAGTGGAGGTGGTAATAATTCTGCACGACCACCGCCAAGAATTGATGGAATGATATCCCTTAAGGTTAGTTTGAAATTAATAAAGTAGAAAATTCGAAGTGTGATTGGGCAAAGGATTTAATTCGCAAGAAAAATATTTGTATATAATGTTTTATGTGATTTATTTTATTTTAGGTTGATAATTTAACATATCGCACAACACCGGAGGATTTGAGACGTGTATTCGAACGATGTGGTGAGGTTGGAGATATCTATATACCCCGTGATCGATATACTCGTGAAAGTCGTGGTTTCGCATTTGTTAGGTAAGTTGTTAAAACAAAAGCTATAAAATTATGGGCACCAAAGTTTTCTGGGGCATGGCCGCGTGAAATGATCCTAACCTCAAATTATACATACATATATATGCATGTATGAAACCCACTTGCACTGTACATTCTGCTGATTATTTTCATTCTTGCTTAAAATAATCTAACTGTGAACGTGCAAATAGTAATAATTTCACTTTGCAACTGTTGTCTACGAATGTATCCTAGTCAACTTACGTACGAAATTTACAATATTAAATTTACGTTAAATAAGAACTGAGAATATCATATTAATAACAGACTTGGAATTCCCAAACAATATTGCATATCGCTTGTTTTGGATAATCTTAAAATAAAGATAATCTTTCAGTGAAATGCACATATAAAATGTGTTCACTTTGCAACTACTGTCTACGAAATAATCCTAGTCAGTTTACGTACGAATTCAACAATTAAATTCGATGAAATATTTTTGGCGCTATTTTATTTAGTTTTTATATTACTTGGTTCTATTGAAAATAAACTTACTTATAGATTTTATGACAAACGTGATGCAGAGGACGCATTAGAGGCTATGGATGGCCGAATGCTTGACGGTAGGGAGTTACGTGTACAGATGGCTCGTTATGGTCGTCCAACTTCTCCAACCAGACGAACAAACAACAGACGTGGTGGTGGTGGCGGTAGACGCCGTTCTCGTTCACCTGCACGCAGGCGATCACGTAGTCCACGACGACGATCATATTCGCCTCGTTCTCGATCTCGATCAGCAGGTAGCCGTTCACCTGCTCGTCGAAGCAAATTTTCACGGAGTCCAGTTGGACGAAAGTCAGCGAGCCGTAGTCAAAGTCGCAATGGTGTAGCTGGACGTAGTGTTTCACGTAGTCGTAGCCGATCTTAATTGATTTCTAACCAAGTCGTGGATTTAATAAATCAGGTAAATAGGTGTTGTGTACTTGAAATTTTAAATGCTAATTTCTTGTTTTTTTTTATAGAATTTCCCAAAATAGTGACCAGTATGCATTAAATCCTTTCATGTGTTGATTAGCGGCGACTTCATATAGAAACGCAGTCTGCGTTTAATGCTGCTAGATCAACAGGTACAGCCTTTAAATATTTCAATTGTAGCACTACAAAAACACAAAAAATTAATGAAAGAATATGAAAGATAAGATAATCAGAAAAATCAAACGTGCCCTTCATATCTTTCTTTTACAACTCCCTAATTTCACAAAACACATTATGTCCGTATTACACCAAATGCTGATGTTAAATATTCCAATTATCAATTCTCCCTTTGAGATGTGTAGCAATACATAATAACGTATGACTACCCCAAATATATAAAATATGTTTACACTACATTTGGAAGGTTAGAATGTCTATATTATATAAGATTCATGAGCGAAAATTAAATGTGGTCTAGAAAGCTATCATTTTATTTATTTTTATTTTCCAGTAATTGGAAAAATAGATTTATGTAATTAGCCCAACAAAGAAGTTGATGAGATGGGAATATTTTTAGAAATTTTGTTTCCAAAATTATTTGTACTCTTATATTTAAATTTGAAAGTAACATGAACGTATTGTAAGTTTTGTAAAAAAAATAATAATAAATGTATTCCAAGTAATTTTATTGAATAAGTTCGTATAGGTGATGAGGACATGTTAATAGGCAATTTTATATTTCTACGAAATTTACATAAGATTCTTATTTTCAACTTAAAGAACTTACTCTGGTCTACATACGAAATTACACAACACATCATCCAACGTTTGCATTATTATGTTGCTAAAATTTGTGTAATTTTTATGTGGTATACACTATATAAACCAATTTTATAACATGGCGGTAATATATTTTTTACACTTCTATATAATGCAGGCAAACAAAGATTGCTGTAAGGGCTGCTGTAAAAGTGCGAAAAGTGATTGAGGCAGATATTAAAATGAAATATGTAAAAAAAAAAAAGTTTGGGGAGAAATAATGTACAAGGAGCAGGAGGCAGAGATTCGTAAATTGATTGATGGCTGCAGCGTAGCGAATTTTATGAAAAACGTACTCCTGTTACTCTTGTTGCTGCTACAGCCGCTGTTTGCTGTTGTTCCAGCGTATTATTTGTACACCACTTGAGCCGCTGCACTTAACTATGCCTAACACTTCGATTTTAATTCTCTGAGACATTTTGAGAAAAACCAATCCAAGTGTTAAGCTCTCGTTAATTTACTATTCGAGTTCGCATCCTATAAATGAAAACGTTGCTGTTAATTAACATTAAAGTTGCAGCGCCAATTCAGTTTTATTAAACGAATTTCGTAAACAAAATATCCGGACCAAGTACATCTTAAGCATACTTGATGTGTAACGGAATCAGTCATTTACTTTGACGGTTTGATTGTGTACGGGCAGCAGTTGGAGCGGTGTACGGATAGAATATATTAAATACCTGCGATTTAGACCCAAGTTCAGCGAAATCTCAGATATGGTGCATATGTTTGAAGGCTGTTCAGTATATGTAGTGCGGAAGTTTTTCATACATACACAAACCAGACTGGCAGGTAATGCTGTAGCAAAAATAACTGTTGCAACTAGCTGTAACTGGTGGCTGTTTGTTGCTGCTATTCGCTGTTATTCACTTCAGTACGCTTCTTCGTACGTTATTCGACTTCATTTGGGTGGTAGTTAGTTGGTGGTCCGGCGTTTCGAGTTCTGAATTGTTGCTGTTCCTACGAAAGATTTTGTTTCTCCAAGTTTGCAGCACAGGTAAACCAGTTAACGCTTGGCAATTTGCTGATGTCTGACCTGCATTTCGCGGGATGTGATGCTAAATACATTTGGAAAAGAAGCTGGCGATGATGCTACAGGTAGGTAATTGTGATTTTCTTAACTAATTGGATTTTGTTACAGACCAACATTCAGATATTTTATAAATTTTAATAAATAAACATGCAAAGCATGATTTAAAGATCGGAGTTTTTTTTTCTACTAAACGAAAGGTTGTAGTTGATTGGTTCACAGGATCACGAATTTCTAAATATAGCTGTTGGTGCGGTTCTATGCGAATATATTATTTTCAAAATGCTTGTTTATGTACATTTGATTGTAACGTTTACCGTGACTATTTATTTATATCTCCATGGTATTGTTACCATGCTTTCTTCGATTTAATTTCAAGTAGGCGGAGCCTTATATGCCATTCGCGTCATTCAAAACAAAAACGTCTGTATTTGTATATTCGGTAAACTAATTTTTCTAAACAAATTCGAAAAGCTTAAGAAATGAATTGTAAGAGTAACAAAATGGCAACAGTAAAAATACGAGTCCGGAATGTCTGGTATGAACCTGACTTGAGTACTGAGGGTATTTACCTTTGCCCAATGCCCCAACCGCCACAAGCGCCAGCTGGTGCATTGTGGTTTACAAATTTGAAACCATACGAAAGGCTTTTCTACCACCAGACGTTAAATTCTGTACGGAAAAGTAAACGTTTTCTGGCCACACCTGAGATACCTAGCGACTCGTTGGATTTCCAGTTACAATCACGGTATGATCACTCCAGTGAAATATTTCCAGAGCGAGTAGATACACTATTGCAAAGAGAGACTTGTGCTTGTGAAAGAACCGATGATGTAGCAGATGGCACAGTGGAATTGAGTACATTTCGAGTACTTAAAAATGTGAAGACAGTACAGTTACCCGCCGGTGATAATCAAGATCACCCACTAAAAATTGGTGGCATTAAAGAGAAAATTTCACCACATAGCGTTAAATTGATCAATAGTGGTGTACACACTCAATTAGTAAACAACGGGTTTTCGCGACAAACTGGCGACGGAAACTTTTTCCGATATTAACGGAGATGCTCATTGTGTTATTCAATGCAGTTTTGAAAAATTAGTTTTTTTTTTTCAAAAATACATAATAGTTCCAAAACTTGCCCAATAAAATTTTCCCCCCAAGTTAAAAATTAAATATACATATTTGATTTATTACGTAGTCTCATGTTTCCAATTTTGGTTGCTTACATTTACTTTGCTCATCATCGCTTTTTTCCGTAGGTTTTTGTTTTTGTTTTTTGTTCTGATTTCTATGACTTTTTGCAACTTTATCTTGACCAATCCTGTGAAAACGGGGAAAAGTTAGTACATAAGTTTTAAATTAAAAGGGTAATTTATTACACGCACATTATTGTCGCTCGTGTACCAGGACCCCAATGTGCAGTTGGATTTGCTTGGAATCGGGTTAATGCATTGCGCCGACTATCTGGATTCGCTTCAGGATGCAAATCATCGAAAATATAATCATTTTCAACCGACCGCTCCAATATGGCTTTTAAAGCTGTTCCTTCTATCATACGTTCCGCTTTTACAGGATGACGTTTGGCCCAGCAACGCAATATATCCCATAAAACCGTCGCAGGCGCATCCGTTTTTATAGAATTTTTACTTGCATGTGAAAAAGAAACACGATAACCTGCATGAAGAAGTGCTGAACGGAATTTGAGCACTGGAATATTCTCCAATTTAAGGACACAACAAAGTTTATCTAACACATAATACAGTGGCACGTCGGATAATTCTTCTTGCACCACAGCTAGCACTCCTTGTAAACGACGTTGTGTTCCCAACTCACAGAGTGGTTTATCATTTACTGCTTGTATTAATTCCTTAACGAACTCATGATCGTGAATAGGATGTGACCATATTGGACCGCCCATCTATATATAAAAGATAAATAATTTTTTTTTTTACTGAGTTTTGGGATTGTATCTTACATGATGTCTGTGTCCACAGTGTTCACAGTTCATACCAACATTTGGTCCAGTTGGAATACCGAATTTTGTTTGCGATTTACCTTTGTCTGTGGTATTGACCTTAACATTTCCTAACGGTTGTAAAGTAAACGTTTCACAACCAGTGCATTGAAATACCATTGACTGTTTGCTGCAATTGTTGATGGATTAATTTTTGTATACGTATAGTAAAAGTTCTCACTCATTTTACTCACCTCATACTGTATTTACATTTTGCTTGACTCACGTGTACTCTTACAAAAACCCGTATGTAAAAGTCTGCAGAAATACTCAAAAGTGGTTCAATATATTTGCCATACCGATTTGCGTGCGTTTCAATGGAATGCAGCAGTATACGTAGAGCCATTTCATGGCAACATTTCATACGCAATGGAACACATCCGTATTTAGCGTAACAAGCCTCTGGTGTATTTCCGGCTAGTACTGCCATGTCAGTAGCTGTTACAAGCAATAAGCCTCCATTAGCGATAGATTGCACTGCTGCATCTAAGAAGCGATTTGGACAACCGTATGGATCCAGGTCAATTGCATCAAAGTGTTTATCATTACCCGTAGACAGGTACATAAGCGTCCTAAGAACAAGTTATGAATAAATTTACGATTGTCGTTATATATTTTAAGTACTACTTACAACGCATCCGATTGGCTTGGCACAATTAAGTTTTCTACTTTATTGTGCTTCACATTTTCACCAATTGATTCTACAGCGGCTTTTGAAAGATCATTAGCAATAATTTCACGCACTCCGGCGACTTCTTTTGCATATCGTATGCTACGCAAACCTGTCGCAGAAAGAGCTTCTAATATACGTAAGCCATTTTCGTATTTCTGTCCTGCTGTCAGTGTGTTATCTTCAATATTAACATTAATATTGTTTGTTTCTACATTTTCTTCCTTTACATTTTTCTTAGCAGCTATACTTCGCTCTTTTAGCAATCGTCGTGCAAACACATTAAGTACTGAAACACTTAGATCGCGGTTGAATTCCTGTACTGGGTTGTAGAAAACACTGCCTCCCGCAACAATCTCAGCGCTCCGTTCTTTAATCACACGATCTAGCGCACTTCTTCGATGGTTGTTTGTTTCCTGTGATTATTTAATATTATTAAATACAACGGTTAGATTACAGATTACATACCTTATTTTCGAATGTAGATTTTGCCTCCATACTTTGTACCAATCGCTTTGCGTCCACGTTTTTGCGATCAGCTGGTTGAATGGAGCAACATAATCTACGTTGCCATTCCCATTTTATCGGAAGCTTAGCAAAGCATGCTAAATGATGGATTTGATTCCTCATCTATTTACAAAAATATCTATTTAAACGCATATTTACTCATATATAAAAAACCAACATTTTATATAACGACTTAAATAGTATTTGTACTCAGAGAAAAAGTGCAACAAGTGGTAACATTCTTTCAGTTGTACAAAAACAAAAACAATTTCTTAATGTCTGTATAATCAAATAGTTCAATATAAAATCTCGGCCAAAGCTGTTACCTCGAACAGAGAACGTATATCATATAATATATGTTCTCTGCCTGGAATAGTGATTACAGTGTAAAAATAGTTTAGCAATTAGTGATAAATGTATTATTTTTTTATAGAAAAGAACGTAGAATGTCATGCAAAACTGCAAAAAAATTGTTATTTCGTACCAACACTGGAGATTATTTTATTACTTGTGGAGTGACACTACTGAACATAATCAGCTGTTTCAAAATATAAAAAAAAATTCACCTGTAGTTAACATAACTTTAAATAGAAGTTGAAATAAATTAAAATGAATAAAATTTGCGGCAGTTTTATATCTATTCTACGTTTTTCTAACATTGAAAAAACGTACACAACATCAGTTATTCTCGGACGCCGGCTTTCGTTTAAAAGTGATTTGTCACTCGACAAGCTCTATCCAAATAGCCGTCTTAAACTTTTTACACCGCCACCAGTAAATAACTTAATTTTTATTTAAACTTATATTTAATGTATTAAAATTTGTAGCCAGCAAATACAGGTGATAAATTTTCTGGTTTTATACCCATTAATCAACTGGAAATTACTTATAGTCGAAGCTCCGGACCTGGTGGACAACACGTGAATTGTGTTAACACAAAAGTTGACTTGCGTTTTAAGTTAGCCAGTGCCGACTGGATACCTGAAAAAACAAGGCAAAAGCTTCTGCAGTCTGTAAGTACATATATCGCAAATTTTAAGGGATATAGCATGTCGTACCACATTTGTGGTATGCGTCTTACTGCTTTAAACGCCGAGCCGATGTGCATGGCGTATGTTAAGGAATTTCGTGCTTAAATTTCCTATACTTAGAATTATATCATAATTTGTACATTTGATTTAAATTTACTTATTTATTCAAACATCTCTAACTACAGTTGCAAAATAAACTCACCAAGGATGGTTACTTCGTCATAAAAAGCGATTTAACACGGTCACAACAAATGAATTTGGCTGATGCCCTGGAAAAACTGCGCAATATAATACGTGAATACGAAGTAGAGAAGGCAGCACCGACGGAGGAAACTTTAGAAAAGTTGCGTCGTAGGTAAGTCGAGTAATAAAACTACAAAATTCTTCGATACACAACATAAATCTTACTTTCAGACATGAAAAAGCTGCACGTGAAAGGTTATTAGAAAAACGGCAAAGATCGCTAACCAAATCTTCCAGACAGGGTCCGAATGTCACAGATGTCTAGAGTACTTATGGGTTGAAATAAAGTCGAAATACATTTTGAATCCAAATAAAACAATTGGTTTTTAAGCATTTGTAACTTCTTTAAGGTGAAGAAAAAACAAAACAAATAAATAATATTAAATTACTATATATGCGTAGATGTGTATAAATAAATATGGTTCATGAGATTGCATGAAAACTGTAACTGTAAATATTTTGTTGAAGAATCCTCTAAGCATCCATTTCGTCATAATTAATGGAAATCCTTATTGGATCTTCAGCGGGTGTTACGATAAATTTGCGTCGTTTACGTTCGTCCAATGTTGCTGTTGGAGTATTTGTCATCGAAGATTGCGTAGATGGATTAGCTGTGGAAGAGTCTGCCTCTCCTACCACATTCAAAATATTAATGCTAGGATTAATGCTAGGGCAATTAGTTTGCATGGGCATTGTTGCGCATCGTGGTAACTGTGAAAATACCGTAAATTAATACAAAGAAGTTCAACAATAAAATGCGGTAATTACATTAGCTGCTAATATTTCATATGTTTTTCCGTAATCGCTAGCAAGCGCTGTTGGATGACGATTTAAACTACAACGGTTTCTAAAATGCAAAATAAAACAATTATTTAGAAATATACTTATACATTATACATTTAGCAATTGATTTTATTTTACCGCATTTGTATACAGACTTACCTTCTATATTGAAGTGTTTGCTGTTGATTCATAGTAGAGTATAAACGTTCTATTTGATGAACAGTAGAGTAGTTGTCCCTAATAACATTTAACGCCGATCGATCGAACAATTGTCTATTCGAAATGGGCGACCAAGTATTTTGATATGAAGCATCATCTAAACGTATTGTTCGTAATAGATCATAATCAATACCCAAAGTTTTTTGATCTTCTTGCGGAAGGTTGGCAAATTCATCGATTAGAGCATTAGTGTCGATACCATTCTTGGGAAGGCCGCGAGCGATTTTTATATCGTGTTTCCAAAATTCTCGATGATTTCTGGAAATTACGGGCGCTATCTCCTTAACTTTCAGCACCAATACGCCCATTATGTATACACAAATTATATTTGAAATTGTTACTAGCATACTTATGGCACCCAATGTTACCAATTCGGTGGCTTGATTGTTGGAAAAAGAATGCGACTTAACCACAATGTTAAATCTTGAATCATCCGTTTCGAAAAGAGTGTAAATTAGTGCTAAAGCCCAAAGGACGCCCTAAAAAAAATTAATTAGGAAAAAAATAATAAAAGTAACTATATATATGTATGTATTTACATAACTACGGACTTATGATATACATATATATATATTTAAATTACAAATAAATTTTATATTTAACATTATTAAACTTACTGCATTGATGGCTGGTGGTAGGAGTGATGCCGATATCGCCACACCCACCAAAGAGCCAATATTACCGCCTAAAATTGCGACAGCAGCTGCAGCACCGGAAGGTATTGCTGTAAATAAACCAACCAGCAAAGAGTGTAATTCACTGCGTGACAGCATTTCAGCCGTTAGTCCTTCGCCATTGCCGTAACGCTCGTCGATAGAGCAGATTACTAAGCCAAAAATGAATCCGATAATTGTTGCTATTAATATGCCAATAAGCTCATTTCTTAAGCCCAACGTTCGTAACGTTGGATCTTTGATAGCGGTACCGAAAATAGCAGCTATTATCGGACCCATCAAAGGTGAAACAAGCATACTGGCTGCAAGAAAGATCGTGCTATCTTCGGCTAAACCAATTGCTGCCAAAATGCTAAACACAAAAACATAAGTGTCTCTTCTTTTCATTTAAAAAAGCTAAAAAAATCCAACTTACGTGGCAGATATTAACAATATGACAAAATCGAATGTAATAGCCGCATCTTGTCGTACATCTCGCACAATTTGCGCCACATTCAAACGACTTCTCACCGAATTCATGAAACGATTCCAAACGCTTTGCTTTTGCTCATTCAAGTTGCTTTAAGGTGAAATATTATCGCTTACATACTTACATATGTTTATTTTGAAACAAAATACTTACACATCGTCATTTTCTTGTGGTAAATCGAATTCGGTCTCGCGTCTAAATGTTTTTGAGACCAAACAATTCATCACAGATACGGTTGACCCAACACGATCTCCGATACCCCACTCGTGAAGTTTGTCCAATAAACTTTCATAGTTCTCATTAAACTCAATTGTAAATATTACCTTATAACAAAGATAACCGATTAGTGTTATGTATGTAGGTAAACATATGTATACTAATACTAAAAATAACACAAATCGCTCTCAAAACACGAATTATTTCTTCTAAAACTAGAATATACATAATTTATTAAGTGTATTACCAACCTGATGCATACGTCCGTCAGTGTCTTTCGTCCAAACTGCATTGAATATTTGAGATCTTTTTAAAATTTCACGTAATACCGTCTCCATGCAAGAGTCACTTGGTATATTTAGTTGGGATGTATCTTGTTTTCTTTTACGGCTTGAAGATGAGAGAATATCACGTAAACCTTCCCACGATTTTCGCATAAATGGTGGCCCATCCTAGCCAAACGAATAGAAGTTCTTTTCATTACAATAGCCATTATTAAACTGAATGAAATTTTCAGCTTTTACACAGTCACTGTCACTGCCAAGGAATACTCACCACAATCTCCACATCAATGTCTTTCGCACTATCTGACGCACTGCCTGTGCTGCTATCCCTGAAGATTGAATTCTTAAGCAACTGTCCAGCATCGCCAAATAAGAATTTATTTCCTTCTGATCTTCGTCGTTTCGGGAATGTGCTGTATTGCTGTTGATCCAGAGTTTGTGTCAGTGGGTTATCCATTTTAGCGCCGAGGCTAACAACATCGATTTCATTAGCATTGGCAGACATTTGTTCGGTAATGTTAATGGTAACAGCAGCGGTGGTAGTCGTAGCATTGGATAAATTCGATAACGTTGCAGTTGTTGTTGCTGTTGTGATAGGTGTGGATAGCAGTTTCTCTTCTCGTCCATAGTTAGCACCGATATCAGCTTTCTTTTTGCGAAATGCACTTTGCAGCAGCAACTCCTCCGCTTCTGTCGGTATGGTGATTATGAATAAAACAACGGCCATTTGCTTTAAATATTATTTGTATGTATATTTGAAAAGAAAACAAAAATTCAATACAATATTTTTCAATAGTATTGAGTAATTTTTTTTTTTTAATTATTTTAGACACAATTTACTAAATTCACTTCACAACACATTAACAACAATTATTGCTAGTCGGTGCATAATACTCATATCTTTAAGGGAATTCGTAGTAACGGTATATTGTGCGCAGTACTGTGGGGAATTGGAAGTGCAGATTTTCAGTGATTCTCAACTGAATATTCCTTTTTATTATATATAATAAATATATAAACATGAAAACAAAAAGAAACAAAAATGTATATATATTATAAACTTTTTTAAGGGGTTACATGGTTTTCAGGACTTCCAAACAAAAATTTACTGTCTTATTTAATTCGATAACATTTCTGGAATCTTGTCTAAATTCTCAAATTGATCTGATTAATAGTGTTGGAGATACAGCCTTGAAAATTTACGCGCTCGAAACTGTGTTTTCAAAGTCGGATATTGAATAATGTTGCCTTATAGATTTATTTTCAATTCATAGCATATGTACATATAATATAATGGCGGTTTTATTTCAATAACCAATTCAATAATCGGTTCACTTTCCTACTAGACTAACCGTTTCACATTGTTCGCAGTAGCTTTTCGCAGCCAACGCCGGAGCTTTTAATTTCTTTATGCAGCAAATAAATGTCAGAATTCGTGGTTGCTGCTGTGTACTGTGCCTAGACCGAGGTGGTCCAAGAAAATTTTCAGCCAGTACATAAAAATTCAGTCATCGTTCGAGTCGTCTAAAGAAATGGCAGCCAATCAATTCTACGAAAACAGATTTACAAATTTTCATAAAAATCATATAAAACTATTTGCTGTTTATATGAAAACAGCAAATCTAATGCAGAATTCAAACGTGCTCAAGCGATCTCTTTAAACGTGTACAAATCGTTACAAATTAAGCAAATCAAATGCTGTTGTAGATTAATTCATATACGTGTATATGTATGTATGTATAATTTCGGAGCGGCTTAGTAGATGAAAAGCATTGAATTTTCATGGAAATTCTTGTCTATGAGACTTTTTAAGTTACAAGGAAGTGCAGAGCAGCAGTTTGTATATATAAATATATAGAAAATGCAGTTTAATTTGCTGGAACCAGAAGTAATCGGAAATGTAACTGTAACAAAAAAGTACGTAACGCAAATATATCCTAAAAGTATACTTCTACTTCAGCGTATTCGCATATTTTATTGTTAGTACATATAAGTATGCTATTGCTCAGCAGCAGGATAACCAAATGTGTGTGCGAGGCGTGTATGAGTGATTGTACAATATTTGCGGTAGACGTTGAACAAAATTGTTACATAATTTTCGATAGCAAAGCTATATTACTACCCATTTGCGATAATGCGTACGTCTGTATTAAAGCGTGCTTGCAGAGTTACAAACTACACACGAGTGAAGAGTGCGATGAAGCTGCAGAGATTTGTTTGACGTAAACTAAATTTCATATTTAAATGCTTCAGCTGTGCCTTTAGGGAATCCATCAAATCATATACACCCACATTTTTATGCACAAAGCCTGAAGTACGCACATATAGACGTGCAAAAGTATAACAAGTGAAAAGGTCCATAGAATTTTGTGGATACGGCAAGTAACCAAACACTTTTTTTGTTGTTGGCACAGCAGCAGTCATTCTTAAGCATGTGTATGCCGTTACTTTGCAGTTACATATAAGTATATCTGTCAATTGTAAACACCGTATGCGCAGGACTCTTTACCTGTCATTTTACATAGCAGTTGTATTACTTTACTTGGCTTTAGTGTGCAGTTTTAGTTGAGAGCTTTTTGTGCAGCTGTCAAATTTGAAAAATCAGATGTTTTGTCTGCAAATGTACGGAGCCGGGCAATGCGTTTTGTTGGAGAGCAAAATTTTGTTAAGTGCGGGTTTGGCGTGAGTGCACGTTGTTATTTCTCTCACATAGAAGCTGTTTGCTCATAAACTGCAGGTACAAAAACAATACTTGCATCATTATCGCCATTACTTCTGTGGCTGTTACACATCCTAGCCTAACAAAAATATTGTTAAGTAGAGAGTCTTTCGCATATTAAGTTATGTATGTATGTATGTTTGCATACAAAATTTGCATTTGCAAAAAATTTTTCGTAGGTTATTTAGTATTAAAATAAACGTCGAGCCGTAATTGTCATTTTTGCAAAGAAAAATACTGAGTAGTAATTTTAATGCATAATTACGGTTGTGGTCCGGTAAATATGGCTTGCAAAGAAATAATCTGAAAACAACCAAGAACATTAAAAATAATATTTTTTTTCAGTTGTGCTGTCGAGGCTCTGGTTTTAACAGAAGCGTTACCACACTGTTGTATTTTCCGTGAAATACTCCCTTCCATCCCAGTTTGGATTCTCATCAAATATTCTAATAAAATAAAAAAATAATCTCCATTATGCAACTATTGCACTATTCTGCTGTAGGTGTGAAAGATTGGTAATATAGTACATACATATGTAAGTACATGTGTAGTGTTCTCGATATGAGAGCGGTCATGTACGTATGGCGCATGGATGTGCAACCGGTTGGCAGACTGTGCAAAAATTCAAGTACAAGGATATTCTCTTTCAAGGTTTCATTCGCCTTCAACAGTCAACACACGATGGCTATTGGCCATTTGCGTTTACACCAAATTGAAGGATTTGACGACGCTTAGCGTCGAAGTGTTGCGTTATGCAACTGCTTACGTATTTTATGCACAGAAGCGACCTTTTCCACTTGCATGCATAATCAATGGAAAAGCAATTTTCATATACATACACACCTACATAAAAACAGTGGTATGGCTGAATGCCGGTAATTGAATACTGAACCGCCCCTTTTGAAAACTATTCACACACATACAGCATTTAAAAATTTCATTATAACAACAACTGCCAAATATTTTCTATTGGCAAAATAAATAAATCAATATTGAAAACTGTATTTTGAGCAATGAACAAGTTGCTAGCAACTGCCAAAGACATAAATTAACAATTTTTTAGGCACCGAACAATTTAACTATTTAAAGGTTCTTTGCATATTTACAGGTTTTGTTTGTATTTCTGGTAAAGAGCTTGAGTGTTTCCTGTTAAAATTCGAAATTTTTACTTTTTTCTTACCAAAAGTATCTTGGTCACTCGTTTTCCGGCGAGTTAAATTCAGTTGAACAAGTATGTGTGTGTTTGCTAATAGTTTTACCTTTTCAAACATACCTAATCCATCGAAATCCTCTGCGGCTTTAATTCAATTCAGTTTTAATATTAAATTAAATTCTAATTAAAATAAGATTAAATATCTAAATTATAATGCAAATAAAGTGCTGCTTGCTTCAAAAATATCTAGTAAAGATCAAGGCGAAACGAGCGTGGTGAATTTCCAATGACCATGTTGCCACTTCGCATGCATATCTCATATATGTGATATATTCATTTATTTTGTACAATAATTTATTATAAAATTCTTATACATTTTCTTTAATATTTTTTTAAACATATTTTTTTTATTTACTTCATAAATCTTTAAATTCTAACAATTTATAAAGCTGGGGGAATGTTAGAAAATCGAAAAGTGGCAGTACAACATTGTTCACAAACACAACGATGCATTTCAAAAAGGGAAAATTCAAGCTACAATTGTACACAATAGCACTGTCACTTGGCAGTTTGTTTTTTTCTGCTTGCTAGTAAACGCGCAAAGCAAAGCAGAATCGGAATTTTGTTGAGTTGACGTTTTTGGTGCATTCTCGGTTTATTATAGGATTCATTTTGCTTGTTCCAGTGAAGCGGTCGCGTTGTTGTTTCGTGTATATTTAGTGGCAATTTTTGTAATATAAGAAAGTGCTTAATTTAAGACTATGTGCGGGTACCTGTATGTATGTACATACATATAATAAACCGTGTGCAAATCGTTTCCAAAATAAATAGAAAATAAAAATATACATTCGGTTATACAAAATATGTAAAAGTATATAAAAGTGCGGTGCGGTGAAAAGCAGATGGTATTTTGTTAGTGTTTGTCTGCTTGCCGAGTGCAGTACATACAAAGTACGCGCGCATTTGTGCGCTTCGCTGGCAATGTGATTAAATGCATTTCTCCTCACATACTAAATTGTTAAAGTGAAATGCTTGTGAAAAGTAAACAAATGCTTAGAATTATAAAAATGTAAATGAATGAATGAATTGCTGTACTATTATCAGAGTTAACAGTAAATTCCAAGAAGTAGTCTGAAAAGGTAATTGTTTTAGTTTTAAATAAGAACGGAAAGGGAAGCCACGGAACAGCTGTATCGAATTTAAGCGGTGATTGGTAGTAATTTATGGTAGGCAGTGCAGTTATGTTGTTATATCTATCAGCTGTTTCAATAAAATGCCTGTATGAACTTAAGTAGAGAGAGATCAATGTAATAATTTGTTATCAGAAATTCATAAAATAAACATGCTTATAAGCAGCATAAATAAATACGAATCAAGTCAACTTGAAATAATTCAATGATGTGAAAGATTTTAAATGTGCTAGTTCCATACAGTGGCTGTATGCTGCTGACTTTGTAGCTCGCTTATTGCGTTTGTTCTATGTGCAGCGTACCTAACTCCTGTTGAACAGATATCCTTGTTTGTTGCCTACTTTTACATACTTGTGTAGATAGGCACAAGTTATGCATATTGTGTGGTGATTTGGGCATGGAGATGCACATACAAACACATGTACATAAAACATTGAATATTCTATTCACTAATTTGGAATATTTTATGATACGAAATTATGTAAATCTTAGCAGACAGTTTAAAAACAAGATTCGGCAGAAGTTAAAAACATTTCAAAATCCATTATCATTACATATCGCTACGCGTTTTTCTTCGAATTTCTATAATTAAATGCATACTACATACCAATATGTATATGTATATATGTGTTCATAACCTCAAATTTATACATTTATTGCTATATACAAAATTCTTCTTATACATCCGCATTTATAAATATCTATTCTATGTATTGAAAAGTACTATTCAAATAATTTTATCATTATTTCTTGATAAAAGACGTTTTCGAGTTAATATAGTTTCACTGAATGACATCGTTGGGCGTATATATGAATAGAAAATTATGTAAATATTTACGCAAATATATACACAATATATACATGTATATGTACATGTAAAAAGTTGATAAAGAACCAACAAGTTATTTTTAATAGTCATTGTAAAAGATTATTGTACAAATCTTAATGGCTATATGCATATATATATATACATATATACATTTATGTATGAATATATGAGATTCTTATTGCACTGACTCATTTTAAATAATTTTATGCAACAGAAAAGTTTGAAGTGCATTCACTCGTACAAATTTATACTGGGAATATGTGCATAAAGTGTCTATTAAATTCTTATGATTAATAATACTATTTAAACAGCTGATATCAAAAGTACGTACATATGTACATATGGTTATGGCTATTTACTATTTTTCAATGGCTTACTGATTCTGTAAAGTAGAACAAATTGCAAAGTACTTCCGTGTAATATTTTGGAAAAAGCTAATGAATTTCAAATTTATATAATAGATGCGTAAAATAACCCGAAAAATTTATTGCGCTGCGTCATTGTTATCACCTCTTTAGTAATTATACAGTGTGATTGTAGTTCAGAGATATACATATGTACATATGTCAAGGTAGAGTTATGTATGACAGTATTTTAGAACATAATGTAATGTTCGAATCGCCAGCTACCAAACTCTTTATCAATATAAATATGTATGTATATATGTGGATACTACAATATTAAAGGGTACCAAGCCCCAGTTAATATAATATCAAGGTGTACCAGTCTAACGGTGTTTAGGAAATTTACTGCGTTGCATAACTGTTACTACATAATGGTGAATTCGATATACTTTCATTAAGTTTGATTGATGAGGCATTAATAATTTGATGTATTTTACAGGATTGTATTTTATATATACCCTTTCAAATATTTAAATATATGTATATTAATGTGTTATATTAACTAAGAACTATGTACGTATATTATAATAATATAATAGTATGCATAGAGTAACAGTCAATGATAAATAGAAAAACATTTTTCTTTACCACTTCAATTCGTATGCTCACTCTTGATTAGCTCCTAATTTAACTAGTAGTACGATTATTTTTATACACTGAACAGGGTATATTATATATAGTATATATATTAGGGGCCCAACTAAGTACCCGCTTTTTGTCAATAGATGGCTCCAGCAGTTAGTGGTAATCGATTTTGATAAAGTTTACCTAGATATTCGAAACAGCGTTTCGACATTAGTCACTTTGTTTATGTGTCAAATACTTTTGGTTGTGCGAACATGTTCGATTTATTGTCAAATAATCGTAATTTGCGAGAAAGTATTGATTTTCTTCTTTCGGTCAAAGAAATCGGCGGCTGAAGCAAATCGGGAACTCCAAAACGTTTACGAAGGTGCTGCCCCAAGTGAAACAAGGTCTGGGCGCGATAGGAAGGCCAAAAACCTTCAAAGACGGTGAATGGGAGACGTTGCTCGATGAGGTTCCGTGTTAAACGTAAGAAGAGCTTGTTTCAGCATTGGGAGTCACCCGCCAACCCATTTCAAAACGACTACATGCGCTCGGAAAAAAAATGATTCTGTTGCATATCAACGCTCGGCCACTTGACCAAATCCGTTAAAACCTACTGAAAACGCTTAAATGAAAAGTCCTACACCACCCCAAATATTCCCCAGATATTGCACCCTCGGTTTATTATTTTTTCCGTTTGATGGCCCATGGTCTGGTTCAAAAGCAGTTCTACTCACAAGACGACATCGAAAAATGGCTTGATTCGTGAATAGCATTGCAAGATGAACAGTTTTACCATAATGGTATTCGAGCTTTACCAGAAAGGTGGGAAAAAGTTGTTACTAGCGATGGGCAATAAAATTGCATTTTCATAAAAAAAAAAACACAGAACTTAGTAGCGCACCTAATATAAATGATCGGTGTGACGAGTCGATTTAGCCTTGTCTGTCTGTTCATATATATGCGAACTAGTTCCTCATCGGGTCACTATAGCCATACAAACTGAACGCTCAGAATCAAGTGCTTGTAAGGAAAACTTTTTCATTCACGGAAATATCTTCATGAAATTCGGCATGAATTACTGTACAAGCTGTCAGCATACATATAACACCCATACAAATTAAACCATTTACAATCAAGATAAAAATATTTTTATACCCTTTTATGCCATAAGAATTGCACCTGTGAAGGGTATTATAGCAGCGGTGCAGCCGAAGTAATTTTTTTTTTTTTTAGTTTAAAAACTCAAATGAAGTTTGTATATACTTAAAATAAAACATATGTACTATATATTAGGGTGGGTAAAAAAAAATATGAATATTTTTTTCGCTTGCTACTCTGAAAAATTGGTTGATATACACCTCTAAGAATTGCTATCTAAGTATGAGCTCTTAATTGTAACCAGAAGATCCTCCGCTCAACAATTTTATATCTTTTTCATTATTATCAGATAGAAAAATTCATATCTACCTTCTAACTGCTTGTACATAATATCTCGTCTTATAGATTTTGTAGGAAATTGAATGCTCTATGAAATGGTTCCTTACGGTTTTTTCGTAAACCTAACCGTTTAAAAGATATTAACGGTTGCAGTTTCACTATTATATAGCAAATTTTTTTCCCTTTTGAAATTTAAAACTTAATGAAAAAACATCATTTTAAATTGCAATATTCATAGACTTGTGGCAAATTTACTGCTCTATAAAAATTGTCACCATTTCCTTTGAAAGCCATTGGTGTTTGACGATGAATATCTCGTTAACGCCTAACCTAAAAGAAAAGTTATGCAGTCCATTTATAGCAACTAAAACATTTGTTCTTATTTTGTTACTTACCCTTCTATATTTGCCATATATGTATGTATATTTAAATGAATAAGATTATATATTGACTTACTTTCTATCTAAAGTACATAAAGTAAGTAACAAATACATACACATTGAATTAGTTGTCAAGTACGGCAAACTTAATAAAATAAATTATTTCGTTTCAGTTTAGTAACATTATTTTACTTTCCACATTATGTGTTCAGTATATACATATATACCATATATGTCTCTGCACTCATACATGTCCATGCAAATCTGTATAAATATTTTATTTTTTTTTTTTTGCCATTATCACTTGGCTTTTTGCTTATTTCAAGGCCAAATGGTACTTATAGTTTTATTGTTATTATTTTGATGGTTCGCACTATAAAAAAATAGAGAAATAAGTAAAAAAAAGTAATACTTGTGAGTTATAAGTTGATACAAATTTGTGTACGCGTAAACTCACAAAACTTCACCAAGAACTCATTACCAGCTTGTAGAAGTATTTTTAAACAATTTTTTTTTTATGAATCATAAAACCGATATTAACTAATAAATATTTCTATATTCAAAAATATTACAATTTTCTTCAAACGAAATTATCCGCGTGCCGTATCCAATGGCATTTTGCCAATACATTTGTTTGTATTAATGCTTGCTGATAAATGAGATAAATAAAAGTGCAATCTTTTAGATTTTATTTTCAATAAACTGCTGGGCATTGTTTATTTTTCTAGCCCATTTCAAAATCAATAAAAATACTGCAATTATACATACATATATGTATTGGAAAGCCAAACTCAAATAGCACATACAGAGTATTTGTAACTGTTGCCAAGTTCAATGTCGTAAATACATTTGGCAGAAATGCATATACAGTTTTCAAGAACCGTCAAAGTGTAATGACTGCAATCATATAGAAATATTCCTCAGTGGCTGGTGAACTTGCGTAATGCTTTGCCATTTACGTCAACATACGTATGTATGTATGTACATATATGTATAGACATACTGGTATATATAATATGTACATATATTTGTACATAATTATATAAGTTGGAAAGATATTTTTAATACAAAAGTCAATTGCATATATGTATGTATGTATGTACAAGCAAGTCAAAGTTTTGAATAATTTCTTGAAAAATGTGTGTTTCCAAGCTGGTTATGCAATGTATATGATTTTTGCTGTGCTCTGGACTTCAGAAATATACAAAAATTTAGTAGCTTGTTATTTATTTCCGCTGTTTCAGATTTTCGGATTAAATTCGTTTTAAGTTATAATGAAGTTTCATTAGCTTGGGTTAAAAAATATATAATCCAGATTTTATGTGCTTT